ATCTCGATTCAAAGAAAAATCCAACGCGCTACAGCGGTTTCACTGTTTCACATAATATAATTTTATGAAATCGAATCGACGCGTATTGAGCTGCTCAGATTTTGCATTGTCCGCGTACTCGGAAAAATGCCTTATATTACTATATTCAATTAACAGCCACAAACTCAGTGTCGGACCCAGGGGGGATGATGGTGGAATCCCTCTTCCCCGTTCGCTCCACAATATACTCTGATGTTTATCATACCCCCCCCCACCGGGATAGGGTATGATTATTTTATTATTCTACTGAAAAATACCTACAATATATATCACTGATACCATCAATGTGACCGAATGGTAAATCAAATAACCTTGATGTTTAACTTACAAATTACAAGTTGAAGCAAAATCACGGAAAACCCGACAACAAAAATTAAACGAAGTAATTTTAAAGGGACAGAGCCCACGGTACCCCGAGATTTTCAATTATTAAATTATTATTATCGATTCCGAGAATTATGAAATTAACGATTAATCACCGATAATAGATTCCACGAATTCTAAAGTAGTCACGTTTAGCAGCGCATTTCACTCTGCGCGTACTGTGCAATGATGGAAGATACGAAAACAGAGCTTTTAGGCCGGGCCTATACGCGGCGTTTCCCGTCGAATTCAATAACCGTTGTTTTACATCGGAGTAGCTATCTAACGCCGTGTCTTACGTAAACGCGACGAACGCGAGTTTCGCGTCGCGGAGCGAACAACGCGACGATTGGAATAATCAGGTCTATAAAAATAGATAGACATATCCAATGTGCAGCGAAAATGCAGATCGCGCGACTTAACGAGTTCATTCGCGTCGGTCGCTCGCGTTTGATTGTCAAATTAATTTGTTTTTAATCGCGCGTGATAATGCGAACACGGTGTCCTGCACATAATATATTGACATTCTAGCGTAGGATTGAAATAAAACTTAATTTTCTCTTTTTTTCTACATTTTTTATTCAATACATATTTAATTGCAGAGCGATTTTAATAAGAAACGATTTTTGTTCAAAAGTCAACATTTTTGTAAACTGTATACTTTTAGTAAAAAGTAACTACACGACTGTTGGTGATTGAAGACGTTTACAAAGTGGCTGTGCATTGTGCCAAACACAACGCGATATGTTCCCGTAATTTTGCGTTCATCGCGTTTTTATTAGACACTACCACAACCATCGCATTGTTCGCGCCGTGACGCGAATCTCGCGTTCGTCGCATCCACGTAGGACACGGTGTAATACGCCGCACCGTGGGAGGAATACGAGTTCTAGCTGGCTAAAATTTATGTGATAAAAAAAACACCATACATCCTGCTCCAATCGAAAAATGACAAGAGATCGAATTTGTTCCTTTAGAATATCCATTTATATACAATGAATGCCATTTTTTGATATCCAAAGTAGTTTTCACAATAATTAGGAAAAACCGCAAAATATGATTTTTACAAATTACGGTGCAACAATTTCATTATTTAAAATTTTAAGAATTGTATGATGATAAAGAACAAAATTAATGTACATATATTTACGTTTATATAATAACAAAATCAAACCTCTAAGAGGCTTTAAACATACTTACTGCCTTATTTAAGTAAATTGAATACGTTAATAACTTAACTATTAATGATCTAAATCATGCATTTCAATACGAAAATAAATTAAAATTAAAATCATACATTCAAGGTTAACATGGACTACTCGTCCATTTTAATAATTGAAAATAATTATTTTCCCTCAAATACATATAACGTGTTGTAACGTACAGATATAAATGAATAATCCTAGAAAAAAATTTGGAAAAAAAGTCCATGGAAAAAATCTATTATCATTTTTCAAAAAAAAAAAAAAAAAGTCTTAATTTCTTAATAATATAAATAATATAATAATATACTAATATGAATAACAAGTAAAGGAATATAATTAAAAAATAGCTGATACTGGAGATGGGAGCGGCCACTGTTGTAAGTGAGAAGTTGAGAAGGTAGAATATAAAGAGGAAATTAATTTGTATATGTAAGTAATGATAAACCATTGCTTACTAAACACGATTCTGAGCAGAGTTCAATTGATAGTGATGCTTTTTCAACAATATATATGTCATATTATGGTATATAATTGCATATATAATATAAATTTTCTTTAATAATATTTGTTTAATATTGTACAGATTTTCTCGGTTTTCCAACGTTTTTCCCAGTTTTTGGGAAAAATTTCAAAAATCTTCGAAAAATCGAAAAATGGCCTGTTTAAAGTACCTTCCCAGTCAAATTGCCTTTCAAAAAAAGTTCTATCATTGTAAATCGGAGCAAAATTGCTAGTAGAAAATTTGTAATATAAATTATAATATTTTACTGATATATTTCGTATAATTACCGAATTTTCGGTTTTTTTACATGTAATGAGAAAACTCCTAAGAAAATCGAAAAATGACTTTTCTAAAGTACCACCCCAAGAAAATTTTCAAAACCATGTGTACATCGTTTACATCGGAGTAAGCTTTCTGGTAGAAAATTGTTCACATAAAAAAAAAAAAAAAATTTAACAACCTTGTAAAACCAATACATTCTTCACTCTATTCAGAATCTAGAAAAAATTACGTTCAAAAGTTTTGAATATACACACCAAAAATGCATGGAAGGTATGGTTTCATTAGGAAAAACTTACACTGTCCATAACTTAAAAAATACAAATTTTAGACTGTCACTTTAAAGAGGGATTCTCCATAGTAGAGTACTTTCATATGACGCCGACCGGTCACTTCCCTCTGAATTACATTGTATAATATTTCTATAAATATATTAATATTTATATGTATGAGTATGTATGTATAACTTATATTTAATAAGTTACTTTATACAAGATCTCATCTATGTTAAATATTCGTATTACTGTAGATATTATAATACTAGTTATATATTTAATTTGTATGTTTTAGATAGATCCCCTCAAGTAAACGTTAATTAATGTTTTTTGAGAATACTTCATTATATACTAATAATAACGATTTTAGGGGGGAGAGGGCGAGTGTCCCTCGAGTTATGAAACTAATCTCGATGTAGTGAAGAAAACACAAATTATAGGAGCGGAAATAATTTTAAAAACTACAGTAAGTAAAAACTCCATAGTTTTATACATTATATTGTACCTCTTTCGGTTTATATTTATGCGAGCGCCCTTGTAAGTTTTATGTTAACTTGTCATGTTACATTTTATTTTGATAATCATATTTTATTAGTTAGTGATTTATGTGTCATTAATAAATACTATAATTATGGTTCAAATTGCACTGAAAAAAACATTTTCAACATCTTAGTCGTTTTTTGGCTAAAATATCCACGTATATACTATGTATATTGTATAATTTAATTTTTTATTTTAGTATGTTTTCAAATGATTTCTCATATACCTATGTAACTTATTTCAAATTAAAATTTTAATTTTAATTAAATAAAAAATACATACAATGTTCTAAGCCTATATTATAAATAAATAAATAAATAATTAATAGGTACATAGTTTACTCACTCGTATCTTATACAATTATGAATAGTAGTTAGTAGTAGTATAATAGTATAGTAGCAGTTATACATATATTGTGATTAATTATTCCGCAAATATATTTACGCGTGTGGTTCAAATCAATTACTATAAAATATTATATCAATATCGTTATTGTTATTGTCTCGTAACATTTTTTCCATTCGGCGTAAGTATATACGGTTTATAATGTATTATTATATATTGTGTTCCGACACGTTCCTACCTACCCAACTATATGTAATGCTAACGTCATATCCACGTGATGTCAGGCTAATCGAAATATTTTTTGACGACTGATTCGACAATAGCCGTCAAAAACTTAAATAGGTCTGGCGTATCCTTAACTCGACAAAATGCCAAACGCTGAGAGAATGGTTTTTTTTTTTTTGTCCGCGCGTCGTCGCGTCGTTCAAGTAATTGCTGCCTTAAAAAAAAAAAAAAATGTAAAAAAAAACCGACAACAACAACACATCGTACCTGGCCCTCCATGGTAGTCAAACCATTAATCTTATATTATACAGCGAGGGGGTCTTCCTGTGATGTCGATATATATACGTAGGTTGGTATACAAGTAGTGGTGCGAGAGGGAACTATCGCCGCCGGTTTATATAGCTAGGTATAATAATAAATACATACCTAACCAGAACGGATCCGGTCCACGTAACAATTCGTAACAAACAATTTGATGCACCAGCTGAAAGCCTCTATGCTACACTATATATATACATTATATTATTTTCCTTGAATATTCGTCGTTTTTTATTTTATTTTTCTATTATTCGGTTTTTTTTTTTTTGTTACTTCACGGTTTATAGACCCGACAATATATATCGTGAGCGAACACCTAGGTATTATTTGTAAAAAAAAATAAATACAAATTGGGCCACTATTGTAGGTGGAAAGTTAGGAAGATATAAAGGATATAGAGTAATTTGGTTTATAAACTGCAAAGCATCGGGCTATTTTCTGGTCATGTGACCCTGGTTAAGCTCTTTGATCCTGGTTTCTGTTATTTAATGGTTTCTTCAGATAAGTTATAACAAAATCAATAACTTTTACATCTTTCAAATTTGATCACAGGAAATATGGACTTAAGACAAGTTTTGAGATTTAAGAGTTTTTTAAGAGAAAGTAGAATATAACGTAGTTTTATTTTTTTTTATAAGAGTTTTATTATCTAATTTTGACGAGAATCATAAGCATAATAATCAGAATCATATTACGGCCTTTCAAAACATGATTAACCGAACTTCGATTCGAATTATTATTCATTAGGAATGGTGTATTATTACTTACATTTATAAATTAAATAACTTCATATGTATCTTATCTTCCCAACTCCCTATATGCCGCAGTGGCGCACCCATAGATAATATTAGCTCTTTTAATTTATATTTTTATTTTATAGCCCTTATAAAACGTATCATGCTTATAAAACTAATTAATGTCGTCGTCGTCTTCGAATGACACTTTTTCCATTAAATCGTCGTCTATTATAAAATCGGGAATTGGCGGCACATAGTCTCGCTGGCCTTTTGTGACCACGTTAACGCGTTCGTCAAAATCGTTTTCGTAGTTTAGGGTCGTATCACTTAATTCATCTTCTACATAAGACGAAAGCTTGTCGTTTGACCCCGGCGATTTCGTCGTCAGACGTAACCCATGATATTTCCTCCAGGACTCCTGTAAGAAATATGATATTAAAAGACATTAGATTATCACAAAACAAACAAGTTTTAACATTCTGAGAATAATTGAATAATTTGTATGATATATTTTTATTTTTTGCTACGTATCATTAGATTACGAGTTTTTTTTTTATGGTTCAGGCCAAATAATTACTTGTATTTTAGAAGCAGCTTCGTTTGCAATCGTGGACGTTATACCATTTTTGTCGAGAATTTGTATTATTTCTTCACTTAGCATTTCATGAATACGCAATTCTTCTGTATATCATTATGTATTTACAAAATTAGAATTCAAGTATTATAATGTCACTTAACTATAATTATTGGCAATGTATACTCACCAGTATCTGTAGGTTCGATTCTTAAACTCTTCCACCATTGCTATACAAAAAATAGCCATCAATGATCAGCATAGCTCCATCATATAAGTCGAATTCCTCCACCCACTTTTTTGTATTATAGAAAATATATTATTTTCAAAACAATAAATAACCGAGTACTAGAAATAATACAGCACTATGCTACGCCAAAATAATATATGAATTCCAAAAAAAGGTGGAATTCAAGCATACAAATTGTTGGGATGGGGGTTGAAAGTTGAAATTCCCAAAAATCATATTCTTGATACTAACGACATGCATACATATAATTTCAACCCTTTTGCTTAATTTTGAATTACATAAGAGAAATTATGACTAAATCTATTTATAAAACAGATCTAATTCCCTAGTTCAATCTCATTTGGTCCAGAATGAATCGCTAGAAGTAAACAGAAGTCAAGGGCAAATTATAAATATATAATATAGTTATATATATATATATATATATATATTACTATGGTATTTATTTTTAAAACATCAGAATTTTTCCAAACGCTGGTCAACTTTTATCTTGTGAGATCTAAAAATAAACTTTATTTTCAACGTTACAGGCAAAAATTATAATTTGTATAACCGTGAACAAAAACCAGTGTTGGGAAGGATCGCGTTTCTTTCACTTAAGCTTGGAATACATTCCTTTTCAAATAGAGACAAATTTCTATTTATGAGGAACGTGAACACAAATGTCCATTCCTCATATTATAAAAAAAAAAAATGATACGAACGTTATTTTAATGATAATATTGTCTAGAAACTATTTAGAGTTGGTATCACTTCGTCAATTATACTCATATTATTACAATAATGTAGACCAAAATTGTCCATGTGTATTAATATACAAGTACAAGGTGCAATGTGCATAATATGATAATATTAATATAAACCCCGGTTGAATATTATCTTGTACAACTGTGATATAAAAATGTCAATTCATAGAAGTAAAAAAATTTTCCAATTTCAGTTGACGTTATTAACTGAGGCCCTCAGCGCAATAATGAACTAGCCTAAAATTGATGTAAACCGCTTTAGTTTGTTCTTACATTTCAAATTATTTATTACATTAAAATGCATAGACGTTTCTACATTATACGCTTTTAGATTTTGTGTGGAGCGAAGGCTCTTATGGTTTTACGAAGATGATTATTATTATTTTTTTTTGTTCTGTAGACCACATTTCTACCAACAATTTTGCTCCAACTTTTAATGTTAGCAATTTTTCTAAAATGCAATTTCACTGGGGAGGTACTTAAGAGAGGTCGTTTTTCAATTTTCTCCAGAGTTTTCTCAATAAATGTGATAACTGAAGAAAAACTGTGGGAAAACGGGAAAATAAAAGAAATATAGGTATTATTTAAAATATATTATATTCTTCTTTTTTCCTGTGAACAACTTCTCTACCATCAATTTTGCTTCAATTTATAATGATAACAATGTTTCTAAAAAGAAATCTGACTGAGGAGATACTTTATAGCGGTCATTTTTCGATTTTATCAGGAGTTTTTCCAGCAAATGTACAAAAACGAGAAAGAACATGGGAAAACTGGGAAAATAGGTGTACCGTTAAACATATATTATTAAAGAAAATATATAAAACCTATTTAATTATTTTACTATAAAATGGCACATATATTATTGAAAAAGCATCACTATCAACTGAACTCCGCTCAGAATCAATCAAATTGCTTTAGTAAGCAATGAATTATCGTTGCAGCTTACAGGTATGCTTTAAATTACTTATAATAGTGGCTGCACCCGTCCCCATTATTCTAAGACGTCTTTTTTTTTGATAATTAGGTATCTAAGTGACTATTGAATAACTCATTAAAAACTTTAATATTAAACATATATATATATATTCCCAAAGTAAATTATTTGATAATATTTTCAAATTAAGAATATAAAAATTATTTTGAATTGTAGGATGTATAAACAAAAAAATTACTAAAATGTCAGTAATGTCGTAGTATTGCGTCTGTTGTAAACTTCCGATAATCCGATGAGGTAAAATTTAATGCATCTCAACGATTAATCATTGCTAATGTAAAAACGATTCTGAACGGAGTTCAGTTGATAGTATCGCTTTGTCAACAATATATATACATATGTCATATTATGGTGAAATAATTACATATGCATTATATATATGGTGACCAGATGTACTCTTTTCCGTAGGACAGGACTAGTTTTTAATGCATAGTCCTATGTCCTTAACAATAGTGTTGTACAACTACAATTGTACTCTTTTTTTTTTTTTTAATTATAAATAATAAATAAATAAATATAAATATGTAGATAAAATATTAATAAAGTTTTGTATTTATTTATTTATTTATTTATTTATTTAAACGTTTACTTTTAAAAATGAATTCAAATATTTATACTTTAGTTATACATGTATACTTTTAAGCTTACTTAAATTTCAAAATATTTTCATCATAAAAACACAAACCAGATGAGTTGACATTATGATTTAAAATACCTAATTAGTTTTTATAGTTGATATTAGAAAAATAATAACAGAGTAATCATATAAAAAAAAATGTATATAGATAGAGATGCGAAATAGGTAGAATAGTATACACTTTGGCCAATTCTTTTAAGGGAGGGTTTTTTTTTTTATAATGGAGGACCTAAATTTTAACATTTACTTTTTTTAAATTTTTATATCTAGTCACCATAATTATATATATTTTCTTTGATAATATTTGTTTAAAAAAATATAAACTACTTGAAAATAATAATTTTAACTATAAACTTTTATTTTATAAAACCTTCCGATTAGCTAACTCGATAATATGATTATAGGTTTATATTGTTACCGTTCTCTTTATCAGACTACATGCCACCACAGGCACACAGTTATGATATTAATTTTAGCTGATAAAACATGAATATGATTTGATATGATTTTTTTTTTACTGCGATCACCACGAATTTCAAACACGGGTTTTTATTTTTTGATAATTTAAAAACTCAATCAAAATCTTAATATCAATATCTAGTTCAATAATATATATATAAATGTTATAGAGGTGGATCTATGTCCATGACCCACTACAGTTAATACACCACTGATAGGTATATATATATATATATATATACATATATATATACATATTCAAGATTAGATATAAGAAAAAAAACGTAAAAACGTATACTATATAAATTCTAGTTGGATTCCCGATGCATCGGTTAAACTCGTCATAATATAGGTACTTGGATAATTGTGGCGGATGTATCCAATTTTGCTGTAGTGTATCCCGATGCTTTTAACTGTTCGATGTACTTGTCCTCTTCCGTCCTGATTAGACTATTTATTTTCATCTGCATCACCGCGTCCAATAACGAATCACCTAGAAAAGTAATAAAACGTTCAATCAATCAAAACAACAAATAAAATTCGAAAGCGTTCCGCGGCTGGACACCTCTTCCGCGATATTTCTCCAACAACCATTTTAAGTAGCCAGCCACTACTCTGTGCGCCGCGTTTTCGTCTTCGGGATTTGTTCTCAATACCTACGAATAAATAATATTAATAGTCTACACACTCGACTTTTTTTTAAATATAATATTTACACTATCACTCACTTATTCTAAACACGACAGTTATTGTTCATAATTTACGATATCGCGCAATAACAATATTATATTCAGCTAAATTATTATAATAAACTAGTCAACTGAGTAGAGGGGGGCTTTACTATTTTATTCAAATCCTATTTTAAATTTTTGACAGCTTACCTAAGAAGTCAAGATTTTTGGACCAAATTTATAGAAAATAGTAGGTAAACCTAAAACCACAGTATTTAATGTAGTTAGACTGACATTTTGAAGTTACAATTCAAATTTCAATTTATAAAATCTTATACTTCAGTTTTCGAAATTTTTCTGATTTCTTTTTTCACCAGTTTAAAAGATTTCCATTTTTTTTCCAAATATTTCTCAAAAATATATACTATTTTGTTCGTGAGTTGTTTTACACGTGGATTGAAATGATAAAAGTCGTGGTGAATTTTAATATAAATTGATGTATATTGTTGTGGGAGAGTGGTATTACGGAAGGGAGCTAAGTTTACCCTTAATGGAATAATGCGAATGAGAAGTTAAATATAAATCTCTTTAGTAGCTGGGAAGTTTCAAAAATGTTTATACTATAATTTTATGTTTTTTCAGAAACTCTCTGCTGGAAGGCTCCACTCAAATTAAATTACAGCAACACTATAGTTGGGGGAAAATTTGTCTCTAGTAGCGGAGTTCTATTACTCAATGCTATTTTTCTCAAATCACTACCAAAAACATATGCCCCATCCGGATTTTCTTTAAAACAAAGCCACCACCGAGTACAGTAACTTATGTCGACTGCGATGGTGGTGGAATCGCCCAGGCCTGTTCAAATTTAATTTGCCAAGTTTATTGCAACCGAATTTACTAGATTTGTTTAGGTTATTATAATATAATAGGTACGCACTTCCCGAGTGATGAGCATCATTAGTTCGGGCATTCCCTTGGGGACGTTAACTGTCACTTTGTCACCAATCACCGACGGAAACACGTCCATTTCAAAGAGATTTTTTCGAAGTTTGATTCACTTATCACAAGTCATACTGTATTATTTTAACTGTAACCGTTTGAACTATGAATCGAATAATTATAATGCTTTTACGGGACGCGTTGTCATCGTAATCGATAAAAATACTATTTGTTCGCATTTGCCGTTCTGTTACCAGGTGATGATTTTTAAAATCGAAAATTGTTATACTTATAGTAATTAGTGGTGAACCAATATAACATATTTCAGTTATTGGATAATCCGATATTTTCTTCCCGGAAATACTTGGTCAAATATTGGATAAAAAAAAAATCGATATTCTCAATATCGGCCGCTACGCTACACATCAAGTATTCTCAGATTCTAAATTTATAAAATTATATCCAACTTTTAAATTCTGAAAAATGTGTTGGTTTTATTATGTTTTTTTTTTTAATTGGATTTGGAGTGAAGCAAAGAGTTTTATTAGTTATGATATTTTTTTAAATTTTTAAATTTTTTATGTCTATAAGCAAAATTTTTACCAGATATCTTCTACCGATGTATCAAGGGTAGCATTTTTTCGATGATGATGATTTCCGATCTGTATACAAATACAAATATATCGAAAGTGCCGTATTTTAATTCAATATTTTCTCCCTTGGTTCTGCGCACACCCTATATATCAGAGTTACAAAGAGTTTCGTATAAAAATATTTAATTCTACTGGCGGTATCGCAGCGGTGACAACAAATGTTCGTTTAATTGACCCGGCGTGTGTGTGTAACGCAAAAGAGGTTCGAGTATAAGCGCACCACTTGATGACGATAATAATAATAATAATGTCGTTTTACTCGAAATCGCCAAAAAAAAAAAAAAGAAGAATAACTGACAAAATAATATATATATATAAAAAATTCGTAATAACGACTCCCGAGTATAATACTTAACATATAAACGGTAGAATAGGTATACCTATATTGTATACACATAAAGAGACCCCTTTTATTCACTCCCTTTTTTTTTGTCGCCCGCAGGAACGGTACGGAGCAATGGTACCTAACTATACGAGTCACCCTAACATAAAAAACATAATAATAATAGTAACTATAAAAAGGGTTTAAACTAGTATTTCGTTATCCCCTTGGCGTTATTCGTGTATTATATAGCTGTCCCCCAGACCGGCATTATACGAGTGTGGGACAAAATATGCTATCCTCCACATGCGTTACACGCGTCACTTCCCCCGGGGGAAAACTGCCGAACGTCGTTTCGGTCTTTGTACACGATACAGTAGGTACATTATATAACATTATATCAACATCGCGAGTTGTTTTGAATTTATGCCCGAAACGTACATAGATATATGCATAATACGGCGTGATTCAATTCAGTAGCTGCGCGGAAGAAGTATATTTGAATCACGTGATTTATAAAAAAAAATGGGTGGATGAGTCGTTGGTGCCTGGGATGTCTGTTGTTCAGAAGTATAACAAAAACTATTAAGTTTTTACAAAACAAGTTAGTAAAAGAACTGCGAAAATTTGATGAGTTTTATTGAAATTTGTTAAATTTTTTGTAAAAATGTCAAGTTTCTACGACTATTTTTAACTGAATTATACATTACAAAAACAAAATTTAAAATATTAAAACAATTATTTTTGTAAGTTATTCTGTTCTTTCTGTGTACTTTTCGGTTTTATTCAATTAATAAAAAACCTACAAAGAAAATTAAAAAACTACTTTCTTGTTCACCAAGAAGATTAAAAATGCAACAAAAAAGTCTCTTGTTGTTTTCTATTGGAGCAATATTTTTTATAGAAAACATAAGCCGTAAGAATTTAAAATAAAGGAATAACAGTGTCGTAATGTGAAAAAAATCGTATTTTAATCTTTTTTGATTTTCCCTAATTATAATGAAAAATAAATTTAAAAATCAAAAAAACAATTTCTTGTGTCAGTGGCTATATATTAATAGGAAAAAAATCGTTATTTTGTAATTTTTCAATGGATTATATTTTTAGTGTAAAACATAAATTGAAAAAATAAAAATAATGAAATCGGTAACACCGCAGCACGTCGTAAATATTTATCGTTTTATCTATAATTTTTCCCGGGGTTTTCCCAATTATTTGGAAACCTCATGGGAAAATCAAAAAATGAACACTCTAATATACCAACTAGACAACATTTCCTTTCGGAAAAGATACTATACTCTATAGTATAGAATCTATACATTGTGACACGATTTCTTTTTGAAAGTAGTTTACAGACAAAACAAAATACACTCCGAATCTAAAATAAAGTACCTACTTATTTATATTCAAACGTATATACCACTATTGTTCATTTAAGTTTATTTATCGAATTTTCACAATTTTTCGAACGAGTTTATACTTATTAATTATTACTACGCTGTTATGTCTACTTATAAATACTATTAATAGGCTAGTACTAATTCAGTACTATGTGTAAAAACGCAATACAGAACTCATTGATCTCGTATCACGTGCAATTTAACAAACACCAATATGGTTTAAACATTTATTTTAGATTCTGAGTGTAGCGAAGAACATATTGCTTTTACAAAGACATTTTTTTTTATACTGTATGTAGACCCTTTTCTAAATGGAAATTTTTCTTGTAGTGGTACTAAAAGTAGATTATTTTTTGATTTTCCCTGGCAGTATTCCCAATAAAAGAGAAATTTTCAAAAAATGTAAGCTATTTTTGAGCTATTTATAAACATTTTAATTTGGCGAGTTTTATATGGTAATTTTTATTCGGTAGGTACTGTGTGAGAAAATTGTTAGACTAAAAAAAAATGTATAAAAATTTAATAGGAAGTTCATTAGAAGTTTAAGGAATTTTAATATCAAATTTTGACGAAAATCTTTCGAGTAAAAATTATGTAGAACAAATCTAATTCTTCAATATTTTATTTAGAACATATTATGTATGTTGGCGACTTAAGAACGATGGTGAAGTAAGAATTGAACTGAACGGATTGACATCGTATCGAAATTAAAGCTTTTTGAACTATATATCGTCAAACTTAAATATGTTTGTCGTAGTCTAATGGCAATACATTCTATAAAATCCTAAGGGTCGCGAGCCTTATTATTAAACTTCAAGGGAAGAAACCTATAACGTGTTTGGTATAAGTTGTACGTTTGTAAGACACGAACATACGGGTATATCGTTTTCTTAAGTACAACAAATATTATGTACCAAATTGTTATACGAATCGTGTTCAATAATGTGTACCATAATAATAATATTATATTTTTGTTTTTTGTTTTCATCGTACTTTTTGAACCTCGACAATTGGAACTGTATAATTATGAATTGTATATTAATAATATTTTCGAATGCAGATAGTCCGGGAACGCACTGTGTTTTTAATCTTTTTATTAAATTTTGTATCACCCCGTGTGTAGTTCTTCTGTAGTCTGCCAGCTGTTACCCATTTGTTTTTCCCTTTCCATTGTGTAAATTTAATAAAAATCAAAAAATATATAATAAATGCGAACAATACGAATAAAAACCGAGTACAATCTGTCATCTGAGAAGCAGTTGTACAGTAAGCATAAAAAATGTAAATCGATTAATTATTTATATTAAATATACCTTATCAATTACATAGACTCATGTCCCAGTCATGTTTGTTAGTTTTCAGTTTATCATTTGGTAAATTGATAAGCAATCAGATTGCCATACCCCCCCCCCCCCTCCACTTAAACATAAATTGCTATTTACAGATATTTTTATTTATATAATGATTTCAAAATTGTATTTTTGTTCGCGAAAATATTGCGTAACATATTATTCTTTTCCGAATTTTAAAAATACGAGTGACTATTTGAAAATCTACAAAAACAACTCTTAGATAAGACCATTTAATACAACGACTATTCTATTATATTATAATGATAATGATAGAACAAAAACCAAAATCAAATTTCTATACTTAGTAGAATAAAGTAATATAATATGTATTGCGGAGATAAAGTGATATTTTGTTCGGGAGACATTTTGATCCGTTTCGACAACACTCGGTGTCATATAACTAACAAATAATAAATAAACTGTTTAAAAAAACTGATCAAATTATTCTTTTATCATCGCGAATGGTTCATACCGTAAAAAATCCACCGTGTATATTAAAATAATATTCTATGTCATATAATATTACACCGATACGACGGGATAGTACACCACCTGTGATCTGCGATCAAAACCAATAGACTATATTATATAGGAAGGTAACCGTATTATTATTACTTTTTGTAGCCGCGGGTACATTTAAATATATACCTATATTGAATTTTATTTCGTGAGTCGCTTTGACACGTACGTATAAATTAATCTAATTTACTTACTATGATAAATAATAATAAGGGTAATGTTAGTATAATGATTATAATATATTGTGTGTATAATAACTACGTAATAGTATATTATTAATATGTCCCGAATATTGTATTAGATTCTGAGTGCAGCGAACAATTTATGGGTTTTTCTATGGTGTTTGGTATTTTTTTTGTGTTTGTAAACAACTTTTCTATCAGAAATATTGCTCCACTAAAAAAGTGACAAGAAAATTTTTTATTACATTTGGATCAAGTTTGTGATCGAGTAAGTCAGTTTTTGATTTTCCAAATATTTTTCATAATAGTTGGAAAACCAGGAAAATTACGTAAGACAAATTGGGAAGTTAACGGAAATATCGGGTTTATGATTCCCACTTAGATTCTGAGTAAAGCGTAGAATGCATTAGTTTTATAAAGATGTTTATTTTTCTATTTTTTTTTTTATTTTTTTATACTGTGTACAAAAATTCTACCAGAAATCTCGCTCCGTTTCTGAAAGGGAATTTTCCTGGGGTGGTACTTAAGGGGGGTTTTTTTTGATTTTCCCAGGAGTTTTCTTAATAAATGAGGAAAACATAGTGAAAACTGAAAAAATAGATACCATATTAAACAAATATTATCAATGAAAATAAATAATGTAAATTATGTAATTATTTTACCATAATGTGATACATATATTGTTGACAAAGCAACACTATTAACCGAACTCTACTCAGAATCGTTTTTCGTTAATAATGGTTAATTGTTGTGTACAGGTATACATTAAATTTCCCCCCTGTCTTCCCAACTTAATGAAGTATGTTCGTCTATTGTTTTTTTATTGTAAATCGGTTAAAAATATTCGTAGAGACCTGATATTTTCAAAGAATACTTATTTATCCAGTATATTGTACTCTTCCATTCTAGTAAGTACATCACACATAGTATCTATATCCTATAACATTATTTGACAACGTGATTAAAGACTACCAAGTTATAGATAAAAACTTCAAACTGCATTTGAAACTTTACATTTCGTGAACAACTCTTCTGTTTACTATTGCAAACCGGAAAGTGTTTTATGCACAGAAGAAATTTCTTCTAGACATTTCAAAATACGTTTTACAAATCTTCAATTGAATTATTAGTAGGTATTATATTTATTAAAACTGCGACTAGAAGTTAAAATAATAGTAGATAAAATACGAATTTTTTATTAGTTTTTTGTATTTGTATTCATCCGCAACATAAATGAAAACTGGAAAGTTTGCTGAAATAGCTGAGTGCTGCAAAGCATCTAATTTATTTATAAAATGTTAACAGCAATCATATTCGTATAATATTTTTACTGTGACCTCATATCATACAATATAAAATAGTTTTTATTTATTATCTCCTTGAAACACGTGGTATATGAATACACACTACACATGCGTAGTCTAATGATGCGGAAAAAAATTGGGAGATTTCCATTTTTTTGACCACAAAGTAAGACTCTTAATGAATCTCCTATTAAATTTTCAAGTATTTCTGTTAAGTCGAACAATTTTACCACATAATACCTATCGAATAAAAATTACGTGTGAAAGTCGCAAAATTAAAATTCCTTTAAATAACTTAAAAATGGCTTAAATTTTTTGAAAATTTTATCACGTCTAGAAAAGATAAATCTAAATGTTTTTTCGAAATGTCAAGTCTTAACGAATATTTTTAACTGAATCACAACAAATAACAAAATTGAAAAAAAATAAAATCATTATTTTCATAAATTTCCCGTTTTCTTTACGTTTTACCCTGGTTTTTTCAGATATTATGAAAATTGCTTAGAAAATCAAAAAAATACTTCTCAAAAGTACCATCTGGACATCATTTCCTTTCAGAAATGGTGTTGTGCATATATATCTGAGCAAGATTTCTGGTAGAATTTTTGTACACAGGATAAAAAAAAAAAATTATAAAATAAATATCTTAGTAAAACCAGTAAATTCTTCGCTACATTCAGAATCTAAAAAGTTAAATACCGGTATTTAATTTATTCCTGTATGTAAAAACAATGCTAGTGAAGAACAATTCTAAGTTCGGTTTTAAAATGCCGTAATTTTTATGATTTTGTCGAAATTTGATTATAAAAAAACTAATACATTGACTTTTTATCTAATACTAAGTATAGCATATAATAAATCAAGTATTAAATTGACAAACATATTAGCCAAACGATTAATCCACATGGTGCCTATCAAATAAAACCAAACAAAACAAAACCCAATAGATCTTTTGCTCCACTCCGAATCTTAAATAATATAATTAGTAACATATGTAAATACACATAAAATATACTAACATTATCTTTTTTTTTCTTTTCTATCTAATAATCTTGCTGGTAAAACAATCACAACGTTCGAGTCTAAATAATTTTTCTAAAGTCAAAAGTTTTTTAGTGAATTGTACTATCAGTGAAATAAAATAATAATAATTTCTATGTCATCATGAATCAATGAATCATGAATTATTAAAAGTCGCCCAAATACAACGCAATAAACACTGCCCGGTTTTATCCACGGAGTACCTATCAAATAAAAATTACGTAAAAACACTCACGAAATTTTAATGTCTATAAATAGCTTCAAAATGAATAAAATGTTTTGAAAATCGTACCACAGCTACAAAAGGCTAATATAAGTTTTCTACACAAATTTCAAGTCTACGAATATTTTCAACTGAATTATAACAAAAAGCAAAATTTAAAAGAATAAAAGAATTATTTTCGTAAATTTCCCTGTTCTTTCTACTTTTTCGGTTTGCTCAATTACAAAAAAAACTATTTTCTTCGTCACTGACTAGATTAAAAATGCAACAAAAAACTTCATTTGTCGTTCTTCTCCTAATTTTTCTATTGAAGTAATATTTATGGTAAAAACATAAACCGTACAAATTAAAAAAAAAAAAAAGGAATTGTAACATTATACATTTATCAGTTTTCTTTTTGGGTTTTCCCGGTGTTTCACAATTATTACATAAACTACCTAAAAATAGGATTTATTTATTAACGAAATAATTTAAAAATGCAACAAAAAGTCTGTTGTCGTTTTTCTATTGGATCAATATTTATGGTAGAAATCATAAGGCATAATAGTTTAAAATAATAAAATCGTAGTACACCGTAAATTTATACGATTTCATTTTTCATATTTTTCCGGTTTTACCAATTATTATAAAAACTATTTGGAAATTCAAAAAATAACTTGCTTTGTAAGTAATCAGATCCAAAATGCAACAAAAACGGCCACTTGGTCTTTTTCGATTAGATAATACCCTATGGAAAATAAAAAAATAAAATGACATCTCTAGTACACCAACTAGATGAAACTTCCTTAGAGAAAAAGTGATACACTCTCTATACATCAGAGCAAGATTTCTTTTCAAAAGATTGTTTACAGACAGAATAAAAATTAAAAAAAAAATACAAAGACACACATTATATCATTATATCAAATCCAATAAATCCCTAGCTATCTACACATTGAATCTAACAATTGAAAATTAAAAAAAAATAACGAAAATATACTATGATTGATAATCTGTAAATAATAAAATATATTCATCTATTTAAATTAAAAAAATACAATAGGTAGGGGAAGTTGGAAGTTATCTTGTTAACAACAAAAAAAAAACTTTTGATTTATCTATAGTCCGTGCTTAATAATGTTGTATTTTCATATTCCTTTTAGTTTTTTTAATAAATGGGAAAACACAAAACGTTAAAAGTAGGAAAGCTTAAGGAAATAACAGTTTTATTATTTTCAATTATAATTTTTAATTCTGAATGTAGAGATAAGAAATGAATTAGTGTTTTACAATGATGTTTTATTTTCTGTGATCAACCAGGAATTTTGATCCGATTTTCAAGTGTAGCACTTTTTCAGAAAGAAAATCTTATCTGGACGATATTTTAAAAAAGTTGATTTTTGATTTTCTAAGAGATTTTGGTAATAATTGGAAAAAATTTAGGAATAATGGGAAAATTTATGAAATTTATTACATTCAATTTTGGTTTTTCTTGTAATTCAGTTGAAATTATTTGTAGAGACTTGAAATTTAGGCAGAAAATTTATATTAGCCTTTTCTAGCTATACAGAAATGATTGATTGTTTTATAGAAGGTTTATTATAAGTCGTACTTAGTGGTAACAAAATACTATGGGGTAATGTAGTGTATTTTTTGTTATAAGAATTTCAATATCAAATTTTGACGAAAATCATAAATATTACGGCGTTTTAAAACATATAACCAAACTCAACTCAGAATTGTTATTCGTTAGCAATAGTTAATCGTTGCGTACATATATGCATCAAATTCTCCCTCTATCCTACCTTGCCAACTTCTCACCTACAATAGTGGCCCACTTATTATGGAAAGTATGTCCGTATCTTTATTGTTGTAATAGATTTTTTAGTTATTTATGGGTATTTGACATTTTTGATTTTTTTTAAAGTTTGTATTTGATTTTATGTGGATAAAATTGTTTGGCGAACATAAATGCTTAAAAATTAATTGGAGGTTCTTTTTTTGGTAAGTATTTTAAATTTAAATTTTGACAAAAATCATAAAAAAAATACAGCATTCAAAATATATTTAACCAAACTTTGCTCAGAATTGTGGCAATGGTTTATTGTTTCTTATTGATATAAATTATAAACAACTTTATGTATCATGTCTATAATAGTGGCGCACACCTATCAGTAGTATTTTTTTTTGTTTTTATTAATAGTCACTGTTAAATTCGGCTCTTCTACAGCGTGGTATAAACGCCTTTAACACAGCACATGATTTCTGGATATCAACCCCCTCCCCCTTGTGGACCGGTACTTTACTTATCTATATGTATATATAAAATAAAATGATAAATTATACCTACTATTATATGCGTTTTGGCGGTGATGGATATTAACGCGCCGTACAGGGTGCACAGAGTGATACGGATTATGCAGCGGCTGCCTCGTCCCTCATGCAGGCAGAAAACCCTTCGCGACGTCTATTGTCCCATCAAGCTATACAATATTTTTTTATATCTAATACCTGTGCAGCAAAGCACTCCCTCAGTAGCATTGTATTCCAGCGAGCGCATATTGTATTGTACTCCCGGAATATAGAATAGTGTATACCTATAGGTAGTACCTATACCGTCGGTACCTCTGCAGGGTGTGTGACCACACTTACAATCGCTTATCTATTCGTTATAATTTGCATATATAATATTTAGGCACTATTATATTAATACACGTCATCGTATTATTGTACATTATTATTATATTGTAGGTAAATTGTATTATATAATATTGTAATACACGCGCGAGACGACTAGGCGAGGATAATATAATTTATTATAATATATTATAATAGTTATGGAAATAACACACGCGAGTAAATAACAATAATAAAATAATACGCGCCATTTTGATTGCGCGGGCTTCCAACCGTGCCATATGTGGAGTGGCGAAGGCCGGTGGCGGTCCGGGTGGTGGTGAGTTCGAAGGAGGAGGAGTAGGATTATCCGACGGTGTGGAGTAGTGGGTCTTGGCGGTGGAACACGGCGATACGATTCGTCGGTTACCACGGAGCGGAGGGCGTGAGGGTGGGCCGGGTTTGTAGGGGTTGCCCGCTTCCACCGCCGCCGCCGTGGCACGGCGTCGTTGTCGTCTGTTTTATTTTATAAACTATAGCCGACCGACGTGCCTGTCCATTTCGCGTCGTGCCCACTTTCTGTGAGCTCGCTGTCACCGTGGGCCACTCGATATGCGTCCCTCGTTCGCGACGCCGCCGTCAAACAGCGGCGTCACCGTCTCCTGACCGTGACGTTACCGAATCGAGAGTTCACACCGCGTAAGTATTACTAATATTTTATTAATAGGTATACGTTTTTTTTTCTTCTCCCCAATTTACTTATTGAGCATTATTAAATTCATTTTTTATTATATCTACGATTGTTGCGTATCTCCTCATAATTTTTAATAAATTAATTTTATTACTTAGGTACACTTATATAGTGTACCTATACGGTGTGATTTTTTTTCTCCTTATTTAAATGAAAGTTTTTCTTTTTTTTTTTCGTGATACTATCAAGAAATAATAATCATTTTTTTTTTTTTTTTAATATATAATATAATATATTATGGATGCACAGTATTAATATTATATTTTATAATATATTCTATAGCGTATATCATCACGCAGCTCACTATATTACAAGTATACAAGTTTAGGTGTATTACTTATATATAATTACATAGGTACCTATGGAACTTGCTCCATATATTATTTTTTTATTCGAAATCGCCAAACATTTTTTTTACTATTATTTTAAAGTTATACACTTTTCTGCGAAAATAGTAACAATTTACAGTAATCAATATACAATCTTTTGAGGGTAGTACCTAAATAAGTCTGAGAAAATTAAACATACGATAAAATAAACTAATTATTATTTTGTTGTTATATTTTTTTTAAAAAAAATTGAATAGCATTTAATTTATAGATATAACAAAGATAAATTGTGATAATAATTATATATACCGTGCGGTGTGGTTTCGCGGACGAACGTTCGCATGCGGTAAACTTTTTAAAAATTTAACTAGGACAATGATTATCCTAATTAATGATCCTAGTTAAAATAATTATTATTATAATACGTGTACTGACCAGGTCTTGATTAACGAACAGGCAAAGTAGGCATGTGGTTATTATGAGCAAATAACAAGGATCATATATACCCACAAATAATTTAGTTTGTCAATTTTTTCAGTTAAAATATTGTTATTAATATTTATTATTGCAATACCTAATGTATTGTAATTAGAAATACGAGTATGAAATATTTCACTTGAAATGTTCAAATATACAATATTTCATGGGTGAAATTCCCAACCGCTTGAAATGTTTGTCTAGTTGTGAAAAAACACATTTTTTGATTTTCCAGTAAGTTTTCATAATAATTGTGATAAACCGAGAAAAAACCGTTAAACAAAATAATAAAATGGTATTTCATTTTAAAATATTTTCAATTTTGTTTTTTTTTCAGAAATCGTCCTCCTAAAATCAAGTTTACTTAGTTTTTATTTTCTGAAAGTAATATACGCGTCAGAAAGTAATATTTTGTATATTTTTCTTAATATTTGGTCTATACTAGGATAAACTGTAGGAAAAGCGGAAAAGTTTACCAAAATTACGATTTTATTATTTTTAATTTTAATTTTAATTTTTTGTAAAATTCGGTTGAAAAATATTTGTAAAGACCAGTCCAGTTATTATTTTCACAGAATAATTATATAAAATTAACTAGACGCAATAAAATTTTCAAAATATTCTGGCGGTTTTTAAGCTTTGTGTTAGCATTTTTGACATTTTCAATTTTTTTTTTCTAATTGATAGCTATTATAAGTGGATAAAATTGTTTGAACAAACACAAGTACTTGGAAATTTAATATGTGGTTCATTATAAGTTATACTTAGTTGTCAAAAAAAAAAAAAAGTTGGGTATAATATCTTAGGTTATTATTATAAGCATTTGTTAAGAATTTAAGATAACATTTTGTTACAAGATACTTTAATACGAGTATCTGGATACTCTATATTAGATAAATTGATTTAAACATCGTAACACCAGACACTAGATAAGTATTTTCCAGAACTGTATCACGATACATTAAGGAGACTAGTTATAATTTAAGATACTTACAATAATCGAAGGTGGTAATATTTAAATTTTATATCGGTTTTATCTACAAAATTTGATTAAACCTAAATAAAAAAATAGTATGAGTATTCTCAGAAGCAGGCATTAGTATAAGTACGAATAATAATATATTTTTTTTTAATTTGTATTATATTGTTTTAGTATTATAAAAGAAGAGGGATTGATACAAATAATGTGAATTTGTGATTATAATTTTAAATGTGTAAGAATAAAAAACTATTTACATTTGGGTAGAATAAGAAAAGTCATAATAAAATATTAAAATAGCATAATATTTGTTGAAGTTTAATTTATATTGGCCATATTGTAAAATATTAAATAGTTAATTTAAAAAATGTAATATATACATAAAACAAATAATAATAGTTCCTATATATTATATATGTAGGCAATACATTATATAGTCCATTATATAAACCATCCTTAATGAAAAAATGATTCTGAGCAAAGTTTGATTGATGAGTGTATATTTTAATGAACTGTCGTTCTTTTTATAATTTTCGTTAAAATTTTAACTAAAACTCTTATATAAAAAAATGTTCTAAATTACACTCTACTTTCTTTTTTTTTTTACTAATTATTATAAAAACTGGTTAGAAAATCAAAACATTTTTTAAATTTAGAATTGTATCCTAATTTGTATTTGACTTTAAGGTTCCTGAGCTTCTAAAAAACATTGAGTATTTGCGTCACTGCAGCTGCCATAAACACAATTATTTTTAAGAGTTTTTGTTGCGATCGACATTGCCTCAAATTCTCGCGATTGTGTATATTCTTACTTACAATATTCATTATATAATATATAATATATACTTAGTCGTTTTATCTGTTCACTTATTTTGATGCGCTTTTATATTTAAAATTTGAATGGAATTTTTCAAATTCAATTTAAAAAAATTTCGGATTGCGTTCTAAAATATTTGATACCCTATTTGTTAAGCTAGAATCTTTAAAGAGAAAACAATTACTTTTTCCTTCGAACGATAAAAATATATGTATGATTATATTTATTTTTTAATTAGCTCTCTTTTTGTGAATATTGATTTTAGAAAATAGTTGTTAAAAATTGTACCTAACCTATCTACATATATAATTATATAATTATATACGAAAGATATTTATAATTTAAAACCGTGAGAACTCAGCAAAATACGTTTTAAAATTCGTCGTCTGTATATTTAACTCTTTCACCCTATACCTATACACTAAATAAACATCACCGATACAGTATACTACCCTAAATATCGTAGTGTGTGTAGAAATCGGTTATAGATCACGTCCAGCACTTTGAAGGGGCATCAGTATTTTTTTTTTTTTTTTTTAATCCATCGCATTGTTGTAAATCATATTATATTGTATACAAGAGTACACAGCGTGAATCGTTCGAGATTTTTTTTGCCATAGCACCCGTCCCTATTTCATCATAATACAATCATTGTATAACGTTTGTTCCAGACTTTATATTATATTTTTACCTACCTACCTAGTTATTAATACCCTAACCCCTAACATTTCTTCCACTTCCTGCTACCGTTGAATAGCAGAAAAATTAATTCACCCTTTTAACAAAAAAAAATAATAATAATAATAATAAAAATCTCAACCCTACTTGTTGTAGTTTTTATATAATATACATATTATATAGTATAGAGAATACCCCTTTTAATAATTTTAAATTCGTGGGGGGACCGTCATAAAAAATTTGGACGCCCGGTGTAACGTATGTATTTATTAGTAACTTTATAATGCGCATACATAATATACAGAGCTAAGTTATTTTTGTCCGTTTACACAAAACTTTATTAGATCAATAAATAGTTATTGATCCAATAAATTGGGTAAAAAAGAAACTACCTATTGTGTGTTTTATAAATTATATTAAATTTTATATGAAAATCAAGTTTTTTGTTTGGCCGCTACTTCCATAACCTATTATTGAATAACAATAAACTTTAAAGAACAAGTTGTTTGCAAGCTGCGAGAATGTATTGGTTTTATTATGATATGTGCTTTTATTATTATTTTTGTATTTGTATACAACTTTTCTTGATTTTTTTGGTTGTATAGACATTAGACACAGACATTTTATTATTTAGTTTTACTTATTTGAGATTATCAACGTGCATGCACAAGGTACTTACGAACTATACATTAATGTTACTTTATATTACCTGATTACACGTATGGATTAGTTCTACCGCGGGATAGGTGATCAGCCATTATCATTTTTTTTCTACAAAACGAGCATATAATCACGTTAGCTTACAAATTGTAAGTGTCATATGTGCTTGCGCAACACTCATTATTATTATCGTATTTTAATATAGGTACCTACTGTTTAATTTAATTCTATATGGTATTTTTAAAATGAAATTGCCAAAAGTTCCAAATTCAAATCTGTCATCTATTGAAAAATGAATTAAATCATACAAAATTACATTTTATGTTGCATAATTTATATTTTTCTTGAATATTTTTATCTGTATAAGAAGTGCACATTTAATAATTATTAGTGTATGGAAATCCGTCCTTTAATTATTATTTATCACTATTTGTACTTATTACATTAATTTAGTAAAAAGATCTGAAAATAAATAGATGGTAGATTGGTTGCTAATATTTCGTTTTGCTACAGAGTAGAGCAAAACACAGATAATTAGATGATTGATAGTAATCATGTAAGATAGTAGCAGAACCCGATTAATCAATAGGTAGAATAGGCTATTATGTAAGAGGAAGGGGGCCACTATTAATTATTTTTCTTTCAATAAACTTGTAGCTCTTAAGCTGCTTAGCATGCGTATCAGTGGCGTATCCGTACGCTCATCAGTGGCGTAGCATGAGTACAGAGCATACTTTACGTCAACAATAAATAACATAAGTTATTTTATTACTACATTGATAGTATTTTATAATAAAATCTTGTATGGAAAATAATCGAAAATGTAATTGAAAAAAAACTATCGGGAAATACAAATTTTCGTCTGGATTATGATTAATTATTAGTAGTTATTATTAGATTAACCGATAACTCCCTGTGATAACGTTTTGTTACATAAATTATTTTAAAGACGAATTGTTTTGGTTTAACTTTATAATAAATGTAAAATGAATAGATATATTATGCTATTTATTATAATATTATATTTCACTTATTTAAATTTGCAAGTATTCATTAAATTAGTTGTTAATTTGAACGTCAAGGTCGTTTTATGATTTCTCATGTAATTTTCTTAATAGTTCGAAAGAAAAAAAACGGAAAAACTTAGGAAAGGCGGGAATATTTACAGCATTATCGGTTTTATTATTTTAATTTTTGCCTTTTTATTATGAAGAAATCTGAAAACTAAAATGTTTAAAGAATCCTTTTAGGTCCTTTTCTAAACGTAGATAGATTTTCAAAATATTCTGGCGACTTTTGATCTATGCACAATTATACTCTATATGGGTTTTCTTATTATAATTTGCTTTAATGTGGATAAAACTGTTTAGTGGAATAGAAATACTTGATAATTGTATACGAGATACATACAAACAAAAAATGTTTAGCGTATTGTAATTGGTTTTATGATCAGATTTTGACGAAAATCGTAAATATCACGGTATGTAATCCAAACATCTACAACCGAACATTGTTTTAGATTCGTACCTTGTTTATTGTTGAATACGGATATAGATTAAATACATTTATGTAGCCTATTTATCAAACTTTCCTAAAACCTAAAACCAAGACTGGAAAAAAAAAACTGTTTCGTTTTCGATTTTATACCGATTTGAAGCCCTAGCTAATTTATAATACTATTATTTATTTATTCTAATTTTTTTCAAACTTAATTTAATCTATATTTTTCAAACTATTGATAAATTATTATTGATCATTATGTGTGAACTTAATTTTAGTGAGGGAAATAATGTTTTGTTCCCCGGTATGATAATATGATATTGATATTACTCACCGATACCGGTATTATTTTTCCATTAGAATATGTATCAAATATATACATCAGCTTTATACATTCCAGAAACTGCAAATAGAACTCATCCATCTAAAAGTCACCTCGGTATTTTTATAAATTTCATATTTTACATATTATTTTCGAAATAAGTATTATCTTACAGGCTAAATTTTATTCCATAAATACGTAAACTTAGGCCAATACTAGCTGCTATTAAGATAGTTGGTTGCAAAAACATTTAAGGGTGCTTTAATTTTAAATTCTGAATGAAGTAAGAAATGTTTTGATTTTGAAATTAAGTTTTTTTTTTATCAGTAAACAATTTTTCTACAAGAAATCTTGCTCCGATTTTCAAGTATGGCATTTTTTCTGAAAGGAAATCTAGACTGGGGTAGTACTTTAGGAAGGTCTTTTTTGGATTTTCATAGTTGTTTTCATAATAAATAGAAAAATTAAGAATTTTACGGCCTTTCAGAACATTGATAACCGAACTTCGCTCATAATCGTTTTTCGTTGGCAATGATTAATCTTTGCGTACAGATAAACATTAAATTTCCCCTCTATTATTCTAAGTTTTCACCTACAACAGTGGCTCACCCATCGTGTGAAATATGTCAGTTTGTTTTTGTTATTGAGTCCATTAGATTATAGAATACAAATTTAATTTTGTTCGCTTGTCCGAACTTTCCATAATACGTTCAAACTTAACATATCTAATAATTTATATTATGACATTTTTTTAATGCGATTAAAACTACGCTGTGTTTATAATTTATATTTATTTAATTATAATAACAGGCTCGAGTTCATGACATCAACATATTTACAAAAAATTATAAATTTAGCATACATATACTATTGGTTTGAAGAATAGAAAGTGTTAGGTTAAGATTATTAGAAATATTAAGAACAAAAGAGGAAAGTGTTGGTATTGGCAATACACATAAAGCGGATAATTGGTTCTTTGAGTCCATAATTAGTAGAGCGAAAAGAAGGAGAAAATATTTTAGTTGAACGGGTAATACCAAGAGGAACAAAAAAATTAAGTTTAGAAAGTAAGAATAGACAATCAATGTCATTGGAGAGGAGATTCTGCAAGAAGCATATAATGGCTGAATGTCTGAGGTCTAGACTAAGCTTACTAGATTAAGAGGACAGGGTCATAAACATACGGAGAGGAGTACTCAATTTTGAGTAGGAAAGTTGTATGCTTAAGATATTTGCATTGTTCTAGTTCTAATTGCATGCAGACGATTGCAGTGTGGGTGTAGCACAAAACAAAATCATATTTAATGATTGGACAAACGAAGGCACAACAGAGAGCTTTAAAATATGCCGGAAATTTGAATTTAGAAGAAATACGTTTCAATAATACGTTTCGTTATATAATTATAAAATAATAAATTTGGAAAAAAAAATTATTGTAATAAATGTGAGTGAAAGTAATCGAATTATTTATTGACTTGAAGAACACAATTTATTAATTGTGTGATTCCCGTCTATAAAATATCACATTTAGGTACATTGCATTTAAAATAAATACTCCAAATTTTCTTGTGATGTCGTGGACCTCAATTTTATTTTGTCTATAAAAGTTTTAACTTCAAGAATGCACGTTAGTTAATGAAAATGTATAAATTATAATAATAAGTGCTATTACATATGTTTTGTAAACCAAGTACAAACGAAATATGTACATTTTTTTAATTTCATTCTATTCAACCACATAGTACACCACAAAAGGTTTTACTGTTTAATAAAAATATATTTTTGGGTGACCAAGGAAAGAAATTCAGTTGTCGGTGGTTAACGTATGACGAAAAAATTAAATGTTATATTGCATCATATTGTTATGATTAATTTACAGAAATTATACTTCAAAATTTAGTTTTAGGTTCAACGATTGGGGATATAGTTAAAAATATAAACATTCTAAAAACCACATTTCATCTGGGCAGTAGCTTATGTGCAAGGTAAACAAGAAAAAAGTGTTTACGTTTAGTACGTATTTGGTAAACAAATGGCAAAACGGATGCTAAAAAAGGAATTGATTTCTTTTAAAGAGCTATCCCTTTATAGAAATATTTTTTTCATTTTTTGCTGCACTGAATTATTAATTAATAATAACACAATGTATAGCATTATAGATAAAAATTTAGTATTTATAGATAAAATAACAATTCTACATTCAAAATAAAAACAGTCGATAGTGGGTATTTTTATAACAGTGTGATTATTCGAAAAAATTCAGCTTTTTTTTTAAATACTAAACATTAAAGGAAAATGACGAGCTGTTAGCAAATGTATGTCAACCCATCGAAAATATGGAAGGATTCGATGATGCAGGGAAGATTTTTTTTAATATACTCTGCCACATAGGTAATAGTTTTAATTTAGGTTTTTTTTTCTATGCCCCGTAGGTATGAAACGTAAGAACGCGGAAACTGCTGCGAATACGAAGATAACTAGGATAAACATAATGAAAATGCCCGGATTTATCGAAATCGATTCGTCTCACTCGAGGAAAATCGTATGGTACTACGCCAAAAATATTCAAAATTTCGAAAATTACAAAAAATTTCTCCTTTCAATCAAACCCGCACTAATTCTTCTTCTCAAGTCATTAACAGAAAACAATCCGATTAAATTTAATTTGAAGCTGGAAGCCACGTACTTCAAACCGCAAGTTGAAAATTCCACCGAGAATAGAGCGTTCAAGACCTCAGCCAGGGAAATTTTCTTTGATAGTGAAATAGAAGACGTCGTAGAAGAAAAATTTGCAAAATTACTAAAAGAAGAAGATATATATCAAGGACGGGGTAGCGGCTTTTCGTTACAGAGTATCAACGGCGTTTTATTAGGTGTTTATAAATATACACCTATGGGAGGCTCTTCATATATTCCACTACCCGCAGACATAAAACATAAACGAGCCGTAATCAATTCACAAAATACTGACGAAGAATGTTTTAAATGGGCGATTTTGGCGAAACACGTTACGGATATACACAGAGAGCGAGTAAACGAAAAGTATAGAGAACACGAGGACAAATATAATTTTAATAATTTATCTTTCCCGACACCGCTTACGGAAATTAAAAATTTTGAAAAAAATAATTCGAACGTATCCGTAAATGATTACGGATTGAAAAAGGAAAAAAAACAAAAAAACTGTACATACCGTGTTTCCACTAAAAGTAATAGACAAGGAGAAGACGGACCATTTCGATATCCTATTAATTGTAGAAAAAGGCATGATAATGATAACTGATAATAGCTGCGAACACTTGGGCGGTGATAGTATGTATGTGCATGTATAGTGGTGGGTACGGGGAGGGGCGGCAGTGTGCGGCGGCTTCGCGTATCCATATAGGTGATAATGTTAGTGGTAACTGATAATGAAAAAAAAAAAGTGGGCGTGGCTAAATAGGTCGATGAAGAGATGGACATCTCGGGCGGCTGTGTTAAAGTATAGCTCCTTAATCCTTGCTCCCCCTTGCTCCTGATCCTGATCCTGATCCTGATCCTGGGTTAGAACCGGCCTTTTCATACTACCATAGTGTTATCTAAAGGTCAATAGTAATTTTGATGACAATGGGAGCTTAAATAATAAATTTATAACATAATACAAGAAAACAAGAAAGTTAAAAATCCTGTAAAATTAGAAAAATAGCCGAGAAAGGTATAGATTTTGTAATTCATAATTACAACGGTTTATTTATTAAGTTCATAATTTATTATGCACTTTACAGAATTTAGTAGTTATAAGTGTAATTTTTAAAATGTAAATTCAGTTAATTCAAAATATTGCTTCAAGAAATTGTATAATTTTCTTTATATTATACTTACTATATTATGGTTTAGATTTGAAACATTTCAACAATGTACATTGTTTGCACCTAAATCGATACACATTTAAACGCGAAAAATGTTGTATACATATTTTGTGTTCATTATACAAATATATAGTCTTTATAATTACAATTTTTAATATTTGTTATTATTAGGCGAAGTTCGTGATGTACGAACGTGATTGATCCGTTGTATAACTTTCTCTTCCACTAGTCCACACAACAATATCTGTGATCCGTTCGAAGCATCCATGACGTGTGATTGAGCGAAAAGGTGACATTGCTACCCATGAAAGGATGAGGTCAGTTTTAAGTTCAATTATTAATAAAATAGATAGATACAAAAAAGATGCTCTCCCGCGTCAGTTCACCTATACGAAGGCAACTAAATACACAGGTCAGCGTGCAAGTGTGGTTATATTGGTTTAAGGCGTTGAGAGTAGGAAGTCAAACCCCTGATGTCAATATAGCAGTAATCGAACGTGGAAGGAAGTGTGTCAATTAAGTTGCCTATCGCTAAGGCACTTGGTCTTTCAAGTGCAACATTCTTCGAGAAAATATAATATATGTTGTACGAGTTGTTACCACGTGTTTGCGACGGTAGCCGTTTGTGGTGAAACAATTTTGTTTATTTATTTTATCGCTATATTACTATAGTTTCATTTTACAGCGACATTCATAAGCTAAACATCATATATTAATTTATTCAACCCATAATACAACAAAGATATTTTGTCCTTATAATTTTTAACTAGATAAAAAAAAAAATAGGTTAACTATATCCCTACAAAATCCCTCAGTCAATTATGTGTAAAAGCCTCGCTAATAAAAAAAAAACAGTTTAAAAATTCTGATATCAAAAAAGTTAGGTAATTTTAGATTCTGAGTGGAGCGAAGAAACTTTTGGTTTTAAAAAGATGTTAATCATTATTATTATTTTTTTCTATTTGTAGACAACTTTACTAGAAAACGTGCAGTGATTTCACATGTAGCACATATTTCACATTTCCGAATGGAAATCGGTAAAAGGAGGTACATTTAGGTACATAGTTTTTCGATTTTCTCAAGAGTTTTCTCATCAAATGCGAAAAACCGAAAAAAAACTGGCAAATGTACAAAATATATTTATGTGATATAACGAATTTTTTTTTTGTGAATAAATTATCTACCAGAAATTTTGCTCCGATTTATAATGATAGCAATGTTTCTAAAAGGAAATCTGACTGGAGAGGTATTTCAGAGAGTTAATTTTTCAACTTTCTCTGGACTTTTCCCAGCAAATGTGAAAAACTGGGAAAAACAAGGGAAAACCGGTGAAATCGGTACAACATTAAACAAATACTATTAAAAAATATATATAGAACCTATTTAATTATTTTACTATAATATAGCATATATATATATATTGTTGACAATGCATCACTATCAACTGACCTCTGCTCAGAATCGTTTTTTACAAGTAATGGTTTATCGTTGCAGCTTTCAGATATACATTAAATTACCTATAACAGTGGCTGCACTCATCCCTATTATCCTAGGATGTATTTCTTAAATTTAGTAATATAGAAATTGTTTATAATTGTTTTTATTTGTACGATAATTTTATACAAATAATTTAACTTAGCTTGGCGGCTACTTATAGTATGTACTTAAATAGTGTTATGGTAATATTATTAAATTATAAAATGGGTATGTAAATATTAGTAGCCGCCAAGATAAGTTAAATTATCACACTTCATCAAATACAAAGAATTATAAATAATTTCATTAATAATGAATTTAAGAAATTACTTAGCCCCTTTTTTATATCACAACTTTTCTAACTTGAGTTTTTTTTTTCTTAGCGAGATTTTTCAAGTAGTTGACGGAGGGTTTTCGTTGGAAATAGTGTTACGATGATATAATTAAACAAATATAATAATATAATTAAATATAACTATTATAAACTACTTATTACTTATTAGTAAGTATATTATATTTAAATATCTAGCTAGTAGAGTATTAAAAGAAATAACAAAGATAAACCAAAATTAGAATTTAATAAATTATGAATTGCATTTTTATCTTCAAATTAAAAATCAAAAAAAATTCGATCCTTGACGAATTGAAAAATTAAATAGCTATTTTAGTATGCAAAACATTTTATGATACATTTTACACGAGAACGATGACAAAAAGACTTAAGTGTACGAAATATTATTGGTTTGACACTCTAATGAAATAGGGAAAACAAAATTATCTACATAATTGTTTTTCACTAATTAAAGGTTATACTTTAATTTTTAACAACTTCCTTGGCTAACATAACGATGCGTTGATTGTTGATAACATCAGTTCAGTAAATTTAATATTTCAATCATAGATATTATCTAAGATTGTGTGATAGCTTGCGTATGTACGATAACACCAACTGTGAAAGTTGTAACAGTAATAATATTATCAACCTAATAATATCTTATTCTATGATATAGCGATATAATAAGGTTATTAACAGGATTAATTGTACCGTTATCAACGGTGTAAATTTAATTGTTTACATACGAAAATAGTGAACTTTTATGAAAAAAGTCCTTACATACTAATTATTACAATTTAAACTTGAAAAATATATACATACATATATATATATATATACTAATATGGACAATGGAAGGGGGCTTCAGATCTTTAGCCCCATGCGTACGCCACTGGATGTGATTGAGAATATTGGGCGAGTTCATGCGATGACGATGTTAGAAGATCGGGTTAAATAAGAGTTAAAGACGAGGTCAGATCGGTTTGTCTCAGCTTTTTAAGTATACGTTAAAAATGATATACACGTTTTCTCCATCATAGAGGTAATAATTAAACCTAAGCACAAATAATAAGATGGATAAGAATTTTGGTTTAAATAACTCAAGTTAATAATTAATTAACGCTCATATTTATTTTACAGATGAAATGGCCAATAGATCATCTATCAGTCACCAAAATTACCAATATAAATGATGTAATAACGGTAGTGTATAATTATTTTCAACTATGAAATTCCTGGAATGTTCCCGATGTATAACCGATTTTTCAATTTCAAATAATAAAAAAATAATAATACTTATCAGAATACGTCAATAGAAATCCATATGTCCAATATTTAAAATTATTTTTGATTTTTAACCATAATTTAAGTATCGTTTTTATTTTGTTTCAGAGTTCAAATGAAAAAGTAGATTTCTTTCATTCCAATCTACAGTAGCTCTAAATGATTTTGATTGTTGCTCAGAAAGCCTTTTTATTATTTATAATGGCTTTCGTGCGATAATCATGACCAAGAAAGAGCTTACACTACGGCGGATTTTGTTTTTTGGATTAAATCGTAGTTTAAAATAATGATATAAATATAAGTGCATCTTAGACTTAAATGTAAACATTCAATTTAGTTATATACTTAAGTATATGTATCAATCTGTTGTAAGGCACTCACTATCTCAGAAGTATTAACTTTTTTCGAAATTTATTTTAAAGAATATTTATAAAACATTTACATAATTTTTTGTTACCTTAATTTTTGGGGGTAAAACGACTACCTACTTTTGATTTTTTATAAATAGATGGAGTAGTAATTAAAATAAATTTTGGTGTTTAAATTTTTAATTTCCGTCAATCCGTTGACACGTGCAGTGGACCATCATTTATGTGGCGGCATATCGTGTTGTGTTTTAATAATATACTCCCACTCTCTCCTGACCCACACTTAAAAGTAGAATATGTCGTCTAGTTTTATCCCCAAAAATTAGGGTCACAAAAAATAATGTAAATGTTAAATTTTAGAACAGCTTGTTTAAAAAAGTTAATATTTTCTGAGATAATGAGTGTCTTGTAATAAATTGATTACCTTGCATATATATATATTAATTATGATCATAGCAAAGAGCTGAAGAATGTATTAATAGTTTATTTATTCTGTCTATCATTGAGTTATTTTGGAACCTCTGATTTAAAGGTATTGTATTGCTTGATCCCTTGTTAGATCAATTGTTGAGTTTTCGTCTGTTGTTTGAAATCCTAAACAAAATAATTTAGTGGATAAACTTGATAAATTATAGCGCCGTTTCTTGAGGATTATATCATTTAAATCGTTGTGACTGATGTAAATTTTTGGACGCCCTGGTTAAGAAATTTGATAAAAAACCATTAGCTTCTAAACGCTTGTTTAATGATGTTGCTTTTACTTGCTCAGAGTTTACAAAAAAAATGTTTTAATTATTATATTGGAAATAGTTTTGATTTATATTTATTGATTGAATAATTTCTTGTACTTCGTTTGTATTAAATTTATTACTATGTATATGTTTATTTTTTAAAAAATGTACTATTTAGGAACGGATGGATATACATATATACGTATATACATTTTTTATGTCAAGAGAAATCATTTTGTAACTTTGCTCAATATTAATTTTATCAATAAAATTACAAGTGTTTTTTATAGAAGTATTAGTATCCATGTTTAATTTTTCTTTTATGAGAGAGTCTAAATATTTAGCAGGGTTATAAGCTGGAGAAGTTTTAAAATTAGTTAATGGACGAATCGGATTATCTTGTTTATGTAATTTTATGAATGGATGTAAGTGTAGAGCCTCTATTTTATAATCATGTTTTAATAATATTTTCTTTTGGAATTTAGGTATGATTTCTTTCAATTTTGTTTTCAGTTTATTAATTTTTGTCTAAATTATAGTTTGGTACATGTTATGTTAAGTTTTGAATTTTATTATTATATATAAAATCTTAAGTTTTTTTTAAGAATTTCATTTGTTTAAATGATAACAACAGCATTAGATTTATCTACCGGAACTATTTCTGAATTATTTGTTATTAATTTGTTTACTATGTTGTTGATAATTGTATTTTCTCGTTTAAATATATTATTTTGTTTTAATATTTTATCAGGCTTATTTTTGTAGTTTTTATTAGTGCTGTTTATTATTAAGTTATATCATGTATGATTTTGATTTTGAAATTGTGTATAATTTATAACAGATTTACATTGTATTAATTGTTTTTTAATTGATTGAAAGTTTAATGTTTGATATGCATTGAATTTATTACCTTAATTCAATACATTTTTTTCAGGTTTATTGAAAATTATGGAAGTTAAATTCGTAAATCGTGTTTGAAAAGAATGCTAGTTAAATTGTAATTTGTGTGTATTTTGTACTACTAAAATATTAATTTTATAATTAACCCTATGTCATTTCTTATTTTTTGTATGTAATAATTTTTGCAGAATGTGATTTTTAAAATGTGAAATCTGTAAGTGGTTTAAATATAAAATTGTTTCTAAACTATTATTCTTTCCTGCTATTATGTGTTTTTTACTAAATAAAAATTTTACTTTGGAAATTTAAATATCAAAAAACAATGTTTAATTTCCTTTAGGTAAAAAAAAATTTGCTTAAATAATTGAAAATCAATTTAACAGCCGTAACTTACTATGTAGATTTCCATAAATAAACGACCTCGTTTTTCTAAAATATTAAAAAAAAATAAAATACAATTCTTAATATCAGCTTGACTCGTTTAGTAGTAGACTTGACTGTTTTTATTAGTATACGTGCTTTATGCCAGAAAACATTTACTTCATTATAACTAACTTAGAACTTTAATTTGTGTTAAACTTTACCACACATATATTATAAAAATCACAAATAATATCTGTTGAATTAATAGCAATTATCGACAATTTGAGATGATGGATGTCCAATTAAGTATATGTATTAAGCATTACGTAAGCTACTTTTTTTTAACCATGATAACTTTCAAAAAACAGTTTTCAATACATGAAGTATATAACAATATTGAAACGAAAGTCACGACAAAACTAAAACGTCTTTAAACAATATTCATAACAATCGTTCTACCTACTTATGAGTCAGTTTTGTTTATCAAATAATCTGAAAAAATAAGTTAAGACGAAAATAGATATTTATTAAATTTAGTTATTGCATTTTATCCTCACAATATCGATAGTCGCTCCACACTATGCATGTTTCGCGTTTCGCGTTTCGTGTTTTCACGTTTTCGTTTAATTTCGTGAATAGTGTGTATAGCTTTTTCACGAAAAATTGTTCGTGAAAACTGTTTCGCACTGTTTTGTGAACGAGGCGGTAAAATTGACGAAATCAAAGGACACGAACAAATTATTTCGTGTCGTTTCGTAATCGTTTCGTTTCACGAAATACATTCGTGTTAAATATTTGTGGGTAAATTAATGTTAACGATTTTCATCGTGTGGAATCACGAAATTTCATTACAAATTTAGTTCGTCTATTAGTTGTCATCATGGCGCCCGAGTGGAATAAGTGCTCACATATATTGACGAGTTTAAAAAGTACCGATGTTTGTGGGATCTAAAAAATACAGACCGCAAATTGAAAAATAAAAAAAATGATGCGTATCACGAATTAGGTTTACAATTTAAAAAACCAAATGAAGAAATAAAAAAAAAAAAATTAACAATTTTATCCAAAGCTATAGAGGATATCGGCGAAAAATAAAAACAACGAAAGTGTCTGGTACTAGAAGAAAGGATGTATTCAGGTCATCGTGGTTTGCATTTGATGCTATTAATACATTTTTGCAAGATGTATATACACCACATGGAACTATAGATACAATGATAAGTGTAATTGTTAATTGCAAACTAGTAATTTGAGCTAATTCATTTTTTGATTAATTTTTATTTATATAAATATTTTATAAAATTTACACAGTTTACGCTACAAAAAAAAAATGTAGAAATACAGAAATCATATACAGAATATATTATAGAACAATTTTTATAGCATAGGCGAACAGTGGTTTGAAAGACCATTTTAGCTGGTCAAAAGTACTATTTTGAAAACTAAAAATTATAGTTTTTTTTTTATCAATAGTTTATCTTTCTGTGACTAAATATAGAATTTCAGATGAATTAATAAACATATACTCGACTTATAGAGCTATCTGTATAATATATGCATTATATGATTTCTAACTCAAAATAATTTGCAAATTTATCAATTTTTTATAAGATGTATATATATTTAACAATTGGTAAAACTGCATACTATTTATTTGGTATAAAATTGTCCATGATAATAATATTATTTTATAATACTTATAGTAGGTTTTTAACTAAAGAATATATATTAAAAAAGCATACAATACCAGTATTTACAAATTATAGACATTACTGATAATTATATTGCCATTCTAATTTTCCAGTATTTAAAATATTCTGCAAATTCTTGTTGAATATCTTTTGCCGTTATAGATGTTTTTCTACCCCTTTTTTCCATCGATAATAATGATTTTTGCCCTTCGCGTTCATTTCTCCATGATCCATTCAAAATTTGACCATTCTATTCCGTGTCAAATTTCCCTGGTGGTGTGTACATACTTTTTGATTCTTTGCTTCTTCTTAAAAAATTATGTAATAATATACAGCATTCGGTAACCAGCCGAGCTTTAGTAGGATTTAGTAAAATGGTTTCTTTTTAAACACGAAAAACTGCAGATATAATTCCGAACACATTTTCAACAGTTCTACGAGCTCTAGGTAACCTATAGTGAAAAATTCTTTGAAATGATCTACTATCATGATTTCCACTATAAGGGACTAACAGATTTTCCTGTAGTGGGAATGCATTATCAGCTACGATAACATATGGAACAGACTTGGTTTTCTGAGACAAACATCTTGGTGTGGGTAAATTCAACGTTCCGTTTTTTAATTTCTTTGACAATGTACAATTACGCAAAAAACACCTCCATCTGATATTCTACTTTGAGATCCGATATTTGCGTAAGTAATATTATAGTCAGCATCACATAAGACCATTAGAACGATATTGAATGTTCCTTTATAATTTATATAATCACTACCACTATTAATAGGAGAAAGTGTGAACAAATGCTTCCCATCTAGGGCACCAATACAATTTGGAAAATTTCAAGTTTTTTTTTCATATACGCCGGCGATCTTCTAAAAACGGGATAAAAAGCGTCCCGTTCGAAGTTTGTCGGAACACCGGGACATGACAACCAAAAAGGGGACAATCCCATTTTAAACGGGACGTCTGGTCACCCTATTTTATGGTGCGTTAGGACGGCTGTCGTGCCGTCATATTTTTTTGTCGTCACACTCCCCACTTCAACGGCACTGCGTATATTACTCGGCCGTGCTTCCTTCTCTCCGCTTCGCCGCCGCGATACACTCATACTATACACGTATGTGTGTGTAACTGTATATATCGGTGAGCGCTGCGTATAGTACAGAAACGTTTTAAGGATGATTCACACTGAACCGACACTCGCAGACCGGCACCGGATCGTACAGACCCGTACCGATCCGACAAATTATTAATCAATAATAAATTAATGTGCTAATTTATATCTAACATAACCTAGAGTGACCATACGTCCCATATTATACGGGATTGTCCCGTATTTAAACTTTGTGTTCCGTTGTCCCGATAAAAGTAATACGGGACGCATTTTGTCCCATTTTTTCAAGTCCGTCCCGTATTAATCCCGTTTTTTTCCATACCGTTAATTTATAATTTTGAAATTTATTTTACTATAAAATCGTTTTGTTTACGATATTTTTGTACGACATTATTCAATATAGAATATTAAAATCTATTATTTTTTAGGGGTGGATATTTTTAGATTCTTATTTTGATTATAATTGTTGAGTCACATTGTTGTCGGTGATATAAAACGTATATAATATCATAATACCATAATAGTGTTACATTTCCGTATACAAGGTGTGGCTATTAAATAACGAGACTGCTCGCCTAGATGGGTAGTGAAAAAAACGAGTAACACGTTGGGTATCTAGATATCTTATCTATGCACGTACCAAAACACGTTTTCGTCACTATTATAGTATTTGTGCAGTAGTGGTTTGAAACGAACGTGTTTTTTTCTCGTGCCGAAAACCATGTGTGACGAAAAACATGAGTAACGGATAAACGTAAAATTTTCTCGTTAAACTAAAAAAAACTTCAACTGAGTGCTATAAGTTGTTAAAAGAGTTCTATAGTGAGGATTTCCTATCTCGGGCGCGTGTTTTTGAGTGGCATAAATTATTTTCTGAAGGTCGAGAGTGCACCGGAATCCAATTCAGTCGTAATCCAAATTCAAAACCGTTTTCTTCGATATCAACGGCATCGTGATGACTGAATGGGTTCCAGAGGGTCAAACTGTGAACCAACATTACTATTTGACAGTTTTGGCAACATTGCGCGAATGAGTTCGNTCGATATTGTGGAAAAACAAGTCGTGGATCTTGCACCAGGATAAAGCGTGAAGCGTTATTTGGCCGCTTAAGGCACTCCAGTACTCGAACACCCGTCTTACTCACCCGACTTGGCACCCTGCGACTTTTACTTGTTTCCGTGGATAAAATCTGCCTTAAAAGGAATCCGGTTTGAGTCGATGGAAGAGGTGAAACAAAAATCGGCGGAACTCCTGAATGGTCTTACGAAAACAGACTTCCAGCACTGCCTCGAGCAATGGAAGAAACAAATGAAACGGTGTATGGTGAGGGGAGGGGAGTATATTGAAGGGGAGCATTTGAATGTAGAATAACTTTTATAATAAAACACTTTTTCATAACCAGTCTCGTTATTTAATAGCCACACCTCGTATTTTGATATCATTAGATTAACACGTTCAATTTCCGTATTAATCTTTGTAATAGCCACACGGAAATTCCGCCGCGATAAGGCAATTAAAATAAAGAACAATCAAACTGGTCCCGGCCAATTCGTTATCCACAATATTATTAGGTCTATGTAACATTGTAAATGTTATTTGTTATTAATATTTATACTCGTTCAGTCTACATATTGTCCGTCAAAGTAATAGTGTTCAGTTGTAGTGGTGTCATTTAGAATGTACAGTTTGTTAATTTTTTTCTCAAAATGCCAAAAAGGAGGTGTGTTTTTGCTCCTAATTTAAAATCCGAATTTCATTTTTTAAAAGATGCTGATGAAGTTGGAAAAGTGTTTTGTACAATATGTAAATCGGTATTTTCTATAGAACACGGTGGACTTTCAGATATAAAACACCATACCACAAAAGTGAAAAAACATGTATTGGCGTTATCAGCTGCATAAAAAAATAAATAAACTTCTTTTTTTTTAAAAGAGTAATCCGAGTGGATCCACTGACGAAAGTAGACGTACCGCGTGGATTGCACATAATCTCTTTTAAAACAAATTTATAATAAAAAATTCACTTGTGCTCGAACTAAGGCTGAATCGATTGTTTTAAATGTGCTAGCTCCTTCGCCATGCAACAGATTTGTAAGGAATTAGAAAATATGAATTTTACTATAATCATGATAGATACTGCTAACCATAAAAATCTGAAAATCGTACCCATTTTAATACGTTATTTTAANCAATACTAACTTTGGAGGTGTTTTACGAATAGGAACAAAAATTGTTTTTTCAATTTTAAATAATAATTTAAAAACGAATATTTATGGCATAGGTTGCGCTGCTCATATTTTGCATAACGCAATTCAATCAAGTGCTGATGTGTTACCTATTGATGTAGAAATTATAGTGAACAAAATTTTTCAATTTTTTCATATCTATACAGTTCGAGTTGAACATTTGAAAGAGTTTTGCGAATATGCAAATGTCGAATATAAAAATATACTTGGAAGTGTAAAAACTCGTTGGCTATCTTTATTACCGGGCATAACAAGAATTATTGATATTTACCCAGGTTTAAAATTATACTTCGAAGAACAGGAAAAGTGTCCAACAATTTTAAAATCTTTTTTTAATGATCCTATATCTAAAGTATGGTTTTATTTTTTGCAAAGCCAATTAAAAGTTGTTTGTAATACTGTGATAAAAATAGAAGGAGATAAAAAATCAACATGTAAAGTTGCAGAGGAATTAAAGATTTTGGTTGAAAAAATAAAAAATAGAAAAAATCAAAATTTTCTTACATCAAATATTTTATCGATGTTAAATGATTTGAAAAACAATAATATGTATGATCAAAACTCATTCAAAAAAAGTACTGATCTATTTTATAATACTTTTTTATCTTACATAGAAAAATGGGGTTGCCATTTTGACGAGTTAAAAGTATTTCGTTAGGTTCAATTAATAAATTGCCCTACTTGGGAAAATGTTCAAAAATGTTTCCGATTTCTTATAGAAAAAAACCAAAATAATTCGAACTTAAAACTGGATGAAGATCATTTATCTGATTTAATTCAGTCATGTTGAACAAGTTTTTCAATCACGAATAAATGAATGGTAAAAAAGTTCAGTTAAATTGGAAGTTAAGTGGTGTGAAATATTTGAGTACACTAAAGCTCATAACATTGACACAACTAACATATCAGCAATTTTAGAATATGCTTTAGCAATGCCGGGTACAAATGCTGCAATAGAAAGGATTTTTTCTACCATTAATGTCTTATGGNTCGAACTTAAAACTGGATTAAGATCATTTGTTTGATGGAATCAGTCATATTGAACAAGTTTTTCAATCACGAATAAATGAATGGCAAAAAAGTTCAGCTAAATTGGAAGTTAAGTGGTGTGAAATAATTGAGTACACTAAAGCTCATAACATTGACACAACTAACATATCAGCAATTTTAGAATATGCTTTAGCAATGCCGGGTACAAATACTGCAGTAGAAAAGATTTTTTCTACCATTAATGTCTTATGGACGGACGAAAAAAATCGTTTTTTAGTTGAAACTATAAAATCAATTATCGATAACGATGTTGGTAATTGAATACTATTTCCATGTTGTTTTATAAAGTTATGAAGAATACATGTAGTCAAGATAATTTTATCGGCATTTTGTGGTAATATTTTTATTCTTCTTGAATAAATACGAAATTTTTGCGTAAGTTGTATCTTCCACTACTTTCCTGGCTCTAGATAGTCGGTCATTAAATTTTTTTTTAGTATCATCTACATACATTTGAGGACCCGGGTATGGTCTTAATAAGTATGTCTTTAGAATAAATGCTTCGTCGCCAATAATTGTAAATAGCAATTTTTCAATAGTTCTCGGTAGTGGTTTTTCATCAGGAATATTAAGTTTTTTTCGTTCAAGTGCTTTTCCCAAATTGGAATTTGAAAAAATACCTCCGTCACTGTTTTTACAACTCCAATATCTACAGTAATAAATGTATAGTGAGCATCAACTAATGTCATTAAAACTATGGAAATTTTTTTTTTATAATTATTAGTACATAGATCCGCTATTGGGAGGTGCTTCAATAACAACATGTTTCCCATCTAAAGCTCCTATATAATTTAGGAAATTCCAAATATCCCAAAAATAATTAGCTATCTGCTCCCAATTTTCTTTTTTTGGTTGTGGTATGTATTGTCTTGTTAAATTTTTTATGATTGCTGTGTACACTTCTATAACAAGTGAATTTACTGTAGAATGACCCAATTAAAAACTAAAAACAATAGTTTGGTAGGAATCTCCAGTTGCTAAAAATCTATAAAAAGAAACAATTAAAAAAATTAAAATAATTTTATTGGTTTTAAATAAATTTGTAATAAAAGTTAAAAAAAAAAAATGATTATTTTTGTAGCATAAGAATGTAAAAAAGCACGGACAAATTTAAGAGACGCTTATAGAAGAGCTATCAAAAAAAAATGGTACAGTGTCGGGTCAAAAAACTAAATATTTAAAAAAATGGAAATATGAATTGGAGATGAATTTTTTGAAACCATATATGAAGGAAAGGGAAACAGTATCCTCAGTTGAAGCTCAAAGTGACGTGGAGAAAAATAGTTCCGATACAGAAGACGATGAAACTTTTTCTGAAAATGAAACTAATCAATCTAATAATATCGCCATGAAGAGTATTTCTTCACCTGATGAAAATATTACACATAGTACACTACCGGCAAAATCTCAAACATTTTGTGTACCTCAAAATAATCGAGGGCCTCAAGCTATAGCGTAGAGAAAGTGGTGTGCCCATCGCCCAATGCACTTAGATGCATTGTAATAGCCCTACTCTATCTTAATTTATCGAAATAGTTTGGGGGTTATGCGATGGGCTAACAAACCATCCATGGAAAAAAGTTATGTTCAGGACTCGACAACAAGCCTCGGGACAGATTTGATGGAAAAAAGAAAGGAAACTAGAAATCGGATCTATTATGTGGTACATGGAACGTAAAGACCCTGTACAGACCAGGAGCAACTTTGGATTTAGTAACAGAAATAGAAAAACACAAGTTGAAATGTGTAGCCTTGCAAGAAATTAAGTGGGAAGATACTGGAACAACTAAAGTATCCCAAACAACCATTTTAAATAGGAAACGTGAACACCCTCAAAAATTAAGAAAAATTAAAATATTTTTTTTATATGCTATCGTAGTTTCGTGGCGTGGCCTGTAGATTACGTCTTTTGAATTACTATTTAGTATTTACTGTACTGTGTACACGATATTTCCGACAGACGTATCACGTTTAATGTTTCATCCTAAGATGTACCGTGAATGAGTTTTAAATTCCTACAAAATTATTTTAGTGAATATTTAAACATTATTAACAAGAATTCAAAATATCTCAATAACGCCATAAGTTTACTGACCAAGATAAACTTTTCTCTGTTGTCATTGGAACAAAAAATTAAAATTAAACATGAAGGTAGGCCCAAACCAAGTATAATTATTGTTAAAGAATCGAAATGTAAGGACAGAATAATTAAGAGAAGTTTTAATATCGAAACGTACGAAAAAAACGATTGGATCTGTGGTTGTGATGTAACTAATAAGTTATTTTGTTTCCCGTGTGTTATTTTTAGTCGGTCCAATGAAATAAGTTGGAGTAAATTAGATATTGGTGATTTATGCCATTTATCAACATAAATAAAATCTCACGAAAAAACCTAAGCCCACATAAATGCACAGCTAAGTTTAAAGTTGTTAGAAAAACAGGATATTCGTTAACAGTTAAATATTGCATTTCGTTTAAATATTCAAAAATTTAACGAGCAAGTTAAAGAAAATCAATATATTTTGTTTAAAATAATTGATTGCATAAGATTTTGTGGTGCATTCGAACTTGCTCTACGTGGTCAAAAGAAGAATCGATAAATCCAGGGTTTTCAGAGGTCTTATACATTTTAGTGCAAAATTAAACTTTGCACTTAAAACTCATTTAAAAAAAGCTACTTTCTTTAAAGGTATTTCAAAAGAAATTCAAAATTATATTTTAGACTGTACGCTTACTGTTTATCAAAACGAAATTAAAACTGAAATTAATGAAGCTGACTTTCTTTCTATAATAGATGATGAAACCACGGATGTATTCAACTTTTTTCAAATGTTTATCGTGTTTCGATATGTTCTTACAGATGGATTACCTGTAGAACGATTTTGAGGCTTCTTTAATCCAACTGGTTATGATGCTAAGTGTTTGTCCGAATGTATTAAATCTACTCTTCAACACGTCCTAACCGATAAACAAAGATTAATAACACAAAGTTATGATACAATTTGTTCTAATAATACAGATTCAGTTGAATCCCATTCAGGTGAAAAAAGGCGTTTAATTTCTGATGCTAATGTTTGTTTAAATGTTTGTATAATGGTATCTCTATTTTCATGATATTGCATTAAATGTTTTTCAATAATTTGTTTTAATAATGGTCTAATCATTGATAATGACGAATTATTTCCGTACAAAAAATGTTTGTAATGGCATATATCAGCTTAAGAAATGTTATAAGCAACTCGAAAAATAACCATTCATGTTCTTTAATTTCGAGTTTTTGAGCCATAGATTGAGATGTTATAATTCGGTCTGCTAAAACATTGAATATTACACATCTATTCAAAACGAGACGTTCCATCATAATGTATACAGAATTCCACCTTGTTTTATAACTCTGGAGTAAAGTTGTTTTTGTTAAACCAAGTATTTCTTGTTTTTCTTCAAGTAATGTTTTAGCTAATGTTTAATGTTTAAAATGTCCTACTATTTTATTTCATTGTTTTATTATATTAACTATATTTTCATTTTTTAAGATATAATTAACAGCAAGTTATAGACTATATGCTGCACGCTTTACACTATACATTTCGGGACTTATTAAAGGAATGGCATTAGTTACATTCTTCGCATTATAGGTTACTATTGCTAATATTTTGTTAGTAATATCCCATTTGCCAAAAGTATTTATATGTTATTCTGATAAATTTTCTGCAGTATGACGCTTATCCATTTCATGTGTAGTCAATGTAAATGATTTAGCACACTATTTAGAATCAATTACTTGAGCAGTCACTGTAAAATAATATTCCTGTGAAATCCAGTTCCAACAGTCGATTGTGCAATATATACTAGAAGCATCTTGCAAGTCGTTTTTAATAAGTTCTTCAATAGTTATTAAAAAGTTCTTCAATAGTTGAAGATAATATTTTTAATCTAGTTTTAATCACTTCTTCTTTACATGGTTTGTAGTTTGGTTCTACTACAGACATGAAATCATGAAAACCATTACGTGAGCAAAATGATAATGGCAACTGATTTACAGCTATCATTATAGCTAAGCTCTGTTAATTATTTCACACCAGTCTCTCGAACAAGAATTATTGCCATTGTTGATGTTTTGATAATGTATATTTCCTCGTCTCTTTCTCTTTCTTGATCTTCCATTTTTTTTTGTTTCTTTATTTGTCTCATCAATATCCATAACTTCGTCACTGTCGTTTTCCGGTTGCTGTTCATCATGTGTACTTAGTCTAATAATAAATATTTAAAGAAATTTCTGTTTATAATTTATTTTATTTATTTATTAAACATTATATTTTTATTTACTACTAAGAGAAGTTTTGCACTGATTTTTTGTATTTTAGATTCGAAGTGAAGCGAAATGTATTAAGTTACCTTTTCTTTCGTAAGTAGGGACACAATTATTAATAACAGAAAAGATTTGAGTATAAAAAATCGAAACGTTACTACCAAAGTTATGTGTAATCTACTCTAAACTAATTATATTACTTACTGTTCTTCATTATTCACAGCATTAACTATTAAGACGTGAATAGTAGATAAATGTCTTCCCAATGAGCCAGTGGTTCCTCCGGGACAAGAAAACTCGTTGTTATCATCTTCATCGCATAAATTGCAGTTATTTTCAACACTTTTAACATACTGCCAAACCCAACTTTTCCCACTTTTTTTGATATTTTAGTATTTTACCAATGTACAATATAACAAATACGCATCCGTGTATCGTGCAAACGAACAACAAGCAATACAATTTAATTTCATTTGAACGCGGCGAATGGTAACGATTTAACTTTATCTTATCGAAAGTAGTTAATAAAAATATAATATAATATACGAGTATATATAGTATATAATGTACCTGTTTTACCTGTTGGTAAAAATATTATTTATAACTTTATAAGATATTATTTCGTACATCGACTCCGCCGAAAAATGTCTTTTTACCTGTAATTTTGTATTTTTACTTGTATTGTTATAAAAATATATAAACCTTTATTTATGACATACTTGTATTTACACGTGTACATAAATAACACGAACTTGTACACGTGTAATAATACACGTGAAATTTTAGTGACACGAACTAATACACGTATATCAAAACTACACGAACTACACGTGTAATAGGGACCATTAGTTCAAAATATCCATTTTAAAAAATAAACAATAAAAGTAACGACAATAAAAGAAATTAAACAGTCAACGAAATGAAAGTACTCATTGAAACACTGTATCAAGTGTACGTAATGACTAATGATGCATACTGTGCATCGTTCCGACCGTTAACGATTGTGGAATGATGGTATGTCAAATAAGTAGGGGATGCGTGAATTCGAACGCAATTTGGTCAGATCACGGGTTACCTTCTCTCGTGGCACGGAGTATAGTTGTAGTTTAAATAGTGTTGTTCAGACAATGTCACTGAAATCATCGTTACTAAGCAACTAACTAGTCTCGTGTGACATGTCAGTCAGTCTCCTCGCTACTCTAGTTTCTCGAGTTGCTCGAGTTTTTAATAATATATTTTGTGTAATTTAATTTTAATTTTGTGATATAATTTTATCTTTGTATTATGGAGCAAAACTTTAATATAAATTTCGTCAATGGAATAGAAAAGGATCCAGAGCTATACAATTACACGTTAAAAAGCTATTCGAGAAAAAATATGACGAACAAAGTAGACGCTGAAGTTAAACTCACAGGTTTATAATAATGGTAAAGAAAAATATCTTCATAACTAGAATCACTACTTTAAGACATTACGAATATTAAAAAGAACAACTCAACTCTATGAAATAGTGGATAAATTAATAACAAATTTCAACCCTAAAAGGTATTTTAACTTATACTCCATCTATTTATTTACTTTTTAATATAGATTGCCTTTTGAAAATCAAAATTAGGTAGTAGTTTTATCCCCAAAAATAACATATATATAAAAAGATAATGAGTATACCTATTTAAATAGATCACCTGATAGGTACACATTAAATTTCCCCTCTACTTTGCTCCAATTTTAACACACCTTTAAAGGAGTGACTATATTGTAGATCCATAGATATAAAAATTAATGTTCAGTTACCAACATAGCATAACTTGTAAATTATTAATACAAAAACATAACAAAATATCAATGTAAATACAACATATGATAACTATTTTTTCAAAAGGTATTATCATCAGCCCACATTATAGTTACTTACAATAATTCTATACACATTTTTTTATTAAGGGGTGATTTAGTTCCAAACCTTAGGTACTCTAATGGGGCACTGGGTGGACATTTCTTTTTACCTTTTTTTGTAATAACAGTTGTTGCATTCCTACATATTCATAATATCCAGCCATAGGTAATAGATAATTTTCCAAATTATTCAAACAAAGAAAAACCTAAAAATTTTTAGATTAAGATAGAAGTAAGATATTATTATATAGAAAAAATATGACTTATTTTTGAAAGCAAAATTATAAAACATCTTACTTATATATATTTCAAATTTTAAGTGTGAACATTATTTGTAATTTCAAAAATATAACGTGTTAAATTTCAATTACAAATTTAATTTGTAAGTAATAATAATATATATATATATATATATTTTTTACTAAAGTAATACAATTATTAAAGATATCTTAGTTTTTACTAATAAAAATACAAATTAAATCATGTTGAATATTCAAAAACATTATTTTGTCTTAATGTGTTTTAAAATATAACAAATTCAAATGTCATAGCATATTATTTTAAAAAGATATAATTATTTATGATCAGTTTAGATCTAAAATGTTAGTTATACAATTATATGATTAGATACTATCATATTTTAAGATTACAAAACAAAATATTGAAAAGTTAAAACAGTTTTTCACAAAATAGGTAAAAAAAATTATACAAACTTTTATTAAAACCTTTATATCTTTTGAAGTTGTGTAAATTTAAAAACAAATCAAATACAACAGATATTTTATAAAACCACATATTTTTTAATGAGATATTATGGAATTATTTTCCAATAAGTTTATTCTTTAAATACTATAGAAAAGTAGGAAGGGAAATAAGGGATCATATACCTGCAAATACATTACAGTGGTGAGGGAGCAACTACGTCTCTTGCTATGGTTTCAGAACCGTTCTCTTTATACTAATAAATATATAATTTTGGGTAGAGGTGAATAGTGGAACACTTTTCAAACGCAACGTGGCATTTGAGTAAGTCACAGATATCAGTATATCTATATACTATATTACTATACAATATATTGTACATAAAACAGGATATTTGATATTTGTGTTATAGGTAAACAGGACCAAAAAATATCGTAAAACATTATATTTAATAAAAATAATAAAGTAAAAACAAATATTACAAAATTATTAATAATTAATAAATAAAAATTGTATATGTAAAAATAAGACATAAATAAATAAATAAATGCGCGTCACCTGAAGTGGCTGGAGTATAATGATAAGTGTATTATACGACCGGTTTCGAATTTAAAATTAATTGGATATATCACAGTCAAAATGTAAAACGCGACTGAATATAAAAAAAATATTGGGGACTGGTGCAGCCACTGTAATAAATAATTTAATTTATACCTGTAAGCAACGATAAACCATTACTTACGAAAAAAACGAATCTGAGAGCAGTTCAGTTGATAATGATACTTTGTCAACAAAATCGAAAAATGACCTCTATAAAGTACCTTCCCAGTCTAATTTCCTTCTAGAAAAATGTCTATCGTTATAAATAGGAGCAAAATTACTGGTAGAAAAGTTGTTCACAACAAAAAAGAAAGCAGTAATATATTTGAACTAATACCTATATTGGCTACATGTCTTATACTTACTTACATTTTATGTTTCTTTTAGAAAAGGTACTATAAGTGTAACACAGAAAAAAATTATTCAATTTGGTCGTTTTACATAGAAATAATATATTTTAATAGGAGAGATTATTTAAAATGTGTTATTATTAGACATAGATACGTTTTAAAATCATTAAAAGCTATTATATTAGAATAATTACGTAATAATTTAAGAGTAATATTTTAGAAACCTTGATTACTGGCATTATTGCTGTCTCTCTAGGTAGCTTCGATAACGTTCCGGGACGATTTTCACAATTGCAAATAATAATAAGGAACAACCATAAGTAATAAAAAAAAAATTAAAACAATTTTCAGTTATACTATAACATTATACTGTAGGTATTTAAACAAAAATCACAACGAACTATACAAAAAACTGCATTATTTAAATTAAACCTAAGGTTGTATTATAGGTAAGGATAATGCGTTTCATAAACCTTTGCAATAGTACTACAGTTTAAATTTTAAACTGTTTTATAACTCATAAACAATTAATCCAATATGTATAATATATATTGTAGTATATATGAAGATTTAAAAAAAAAATAAATATTTTAGTAAATTCTGAGTGTAACAAAGAATGCATTGGTTTTTACAAAGATATTTATTTTTTTTTTATGTGAACACTTTTTCTACCAGAAAGCTTACTCCAATATATATGATGTAGACCCTTTTCTAAAAGGAAATGTTCTTGGGGTGGTACTTTAAGGAGGTCATTTTTCGATTTTCTTAGGAGTTTTCTCATTAAATGTGAAAAACCAGAAACGGAGGAAAACAGCTAAATTTATGAAATATATTAGTAAAATATTACGATTTATTTTCTGTAGACAACTTTTTTACAAACAATTTTGTTCCGATTTACAATAATAGCAATTTTTCTAAAAGGAAATCTGACTGAGGAAGTACTTAAGGATGGTAATTTTTCGATTATACCAAGAGTTTTCCATCAAATATGAAAACTGGAGAAAAATATGGGAAAACCAAATATATTAATTAGGTTGAAATTCAGTGCCTATTTAAAACACATTACTTCTCTTGCATTATTTTAAAGATAAGTGTATAATAGTGGATAAGTATTTAAATACAATCTAGTTAACTGTGGCATACTAATTTTTATTGCTTAATAATATTGTTCTCAAAATAAATAAAACAAAATTATAATATATATGTTTCATTTATTTCAATACTGGTGTTTATATAATATTTAATTTCAATTTTCTTTGAATATTCATGATATAAGTTTAACAAAAAATACTATTATACCATTATATATTATATTACATTCTCACAAAAATATAACATATTATAAATTCAAAATATAATTATAATTAGTAGTGAACAAACTTTAATGCCATACAAATTAGAAAAATGTCCTAAAAAAATACGACTAAATGCCTTAAAAAAATTCTCTTAGATCAAAAAAAATGCACTAAAAATCCCCTAAAAAACTTAAAATATTACTTTATACTCATTAAGTACTAAGTATTACTGTTCTCGATACATAAATATTTTATCATTTAAAGTTTTCTAACTAAATCCTATTATATTTTTACTTACTAATATTATTAGTTTCGTTTTAAAGTTGTGGAACATAATTAACATTGATTATATTAATCGACAGGGTACCCCGCTTTCTTTTACCAAAATAAAGATGGAGAAGAGTACTTTAAGACAGTGTGGACGGCTTAGCACATTTCGCTCTGGAACACCTTCTTTGACGGCTCAACTTCCCGGATATAAATATTAGGAAGTAACACGTTAAAATAACATCATTTTTAAACCGATATGCCGAGGTGTTCCGGGACACATTGAATGCCAGTAATAGTATCAAAATAACGTACAAGAGCCCCTCTTTAAACTACCGAAGTATCTAAGAAAACTCAGCCACCGATTCGAAGAAACGGCGCACAAAATTTTCAAAAAATTTCAAATGTCGGCCAAGTGTTATGATGGTAGCAGGTACCATAACTTTATCTAAAAATAATCATAATAATATTGTCCCAATAATAAACAAATTTCAATCCATGTATCGTGTGGCTGTTTGGTTTTCTGAGGATACATGTTGTTATCGACGAAAATCATGATGTACCAAATATCAATTATTATGTTAAACTAAATATTGTTTATAATTAAGTAGGTACCTACTAATTTTGTGTCTAATATAAAAACACAAATTTGATTTTATTAGCTTATGTATAGGTATACAAATTTAAATTTCTAACAAGATCTTAAAGTTTAGAAAACTATATGAAAATAAAGAAAATCCGTTAGAAAATAAAATAAATAAATATAGATTTCTTTGCATAAATATATATGGAGCCCCGTAAAATTCTGCACTGGGCCCCGAAATCTATCGGGCCAGTATACACTGGAACTATACTGTCTCTGCTGAATGTGAATGTGATATGTCATACGTTTGTAAGACGGAGACAAAACATATGGATCACGTCCTTTAAAGAAAATGCAAAAAATACGGAAATCTTACCTAGTTAATTAATATTTATAGCTGCGGTTAATCTAGAAAATTATCTAACATCAGCAATAGAAGTTAGATAGGCAATAAACAGGTAAGTTGAACAATTTCAGGAGCTGAGTAGGCAACATAGGTACAAAATTAAACGATAGCGATAACATTTTAAAAAATAATTTTTTGGTTGTTAGGTAAGCAACTTATTTTACTAGTAGCAGTACAATTACAGGAATTGAATAGCACTGGGCCTTCTTATCAAATATTGCTAGCAGAACGTACGTAATTAATATTATAATTTTTGTATAACTACTGTCTATACATTATGAACACAATTTAAGCCCACCGCGATATCTTAAACCGTGATTTTATTATAATTTATTTTCAAATGATAACTTATCTATTTTTTTAATGTTTGTCGATTGTTAATGTAGATAATATCAGAGTTGACTAATTTATTATGAATTCTTTTAATTCATTAATTGAAATCACTATCAAATCTAATTTTTCCAAATACATTTTATTAAAAAGTGCTGAAATATGTTATAGTATTATCACCACAGATACATAAAAATATATTGTTTTATATATCTGTGATTATCACAGAATAGATGAAATCAGAATGAACGTTTCCTAAATGTAAACAACATATCGCTGCAATTTTTTTAGTCCTAGTTTATTATCAGTTTAAAAGATAAGAAATATGTTAAGTGATAATGAAAACATTGAATAATATTGTTTTATTGCAATTGAATACTTACATTGACGTTTTGTAACATTTGTTAAACTTGTTAAATATACTTTTCTGCTAAAATATTATATATATATACTTATGAATCAAAAACCATTTTAATATGTGATCATATTTCAGAATATAATTGCCTATCTTATTTAAAAACTTGAAATTTATTTTTTAATTTCAGATACGTAAGTAAGTGACTATAGCACCATACACATTGTGTATGGATTTATAATATAGGAATCAACATTCAACAGTCTATAAGATTAAAATCGAAAATTGTTCGCCCATTTAGAATGTCTTGAATATAAAGTGAGATATTTTTGTAACAATTATCTTTAAACATAACAATATTGTATGTTATCAGTATTATTTTATATTATATCAACTTAGGACGCTTAGGTTACATTAATTTAACACACAATACAGAGAAGATATCTTTT